ATTCACACAATTTTCGCGTAATTTCCAGGTATTACACAGGGGAGGTTTTTCCTGATGGCATAGCGCGGGAACGGTTACCTGAAATACCACACGAGAAGGTCAGATATGTGTCTGTCTTTATGGTTATCGAGACGACAAGATGTGCCCTGGATTATATGGATCATCAACGAAAATTTCCTACTCATATATGCAACAGGAACTTACACGAGTGAAAATTTGTCTTTTGGACAGCTGAGATGGCAGCAGACATGCATTTTGCCCTGGAAATGTGAGATTGGTTGCGCGTCGTTAATGTTCGTGCAAAGATCTAAGCAAGTGTCCATCGTACCAGACGTTTGCGACACCGCCACGGAGTTTGAATGTGATTTAGAACACGTTTAGAACACGATTTGAATCTAGAAAGGGGGTCTTACCCCCCCTTCTACATATCAATCTAGAACTGGGTCAGTTTGACGTGCGGACTTGCAAAACACTGACGTTTGACAGCGGCACGTCGGCAGGAGCGGTTTAGAACTACGTTTAGAACTAGAACAGTGTTCTGAACACTGCGGGAAGTCACCCATTAGGCAGGTGTGATGCAGGGACTCCGTGCACCTCTGGCAGCTTTGCTTTTTCTAATAAATAAGTGAACAAGTGCGGCCAAGTGTCATTCAACCAGACAACAAAAACAGTAACACGAAAAAGACAAACTCTACAGTAAGTTAAGTCACAATCAAATGTTTCATCATTGTCCTCCTCATCAGAGAATCCTGCAATAACTAATGCCTCCTCCTCTATGATTGGAGCTGTAGGCAGTGCATTGCACACTACTATCTCCCCTCTGTTTTGTATTTTTCTTTGGCGGACGGAGCATCGTTAATATGAATGCAGCGCGATCTAGCGCACTTCACCAGCGGAATCGACTCTTATTGCATACAGTTCCTTTGCGGACGCCGGCACAAAGTAGGCGGGTGTTGACTACTTCAATACCAGTTGCCTCACCTTCCAGCTCTTCGCCATCTTCCGGTCATGGTCATGGACACGGGAAAGCATTCAATTCTTCACTTGCCGTAGACAGCATTGGTATTGCAGGTAGCAATCCTGCCGAATTCGCTTCAATCAATCAGTTCGAGACCTCGCAAACGTTCTGCTTTGAAGTGACAGACTTAGACTCAGGAACTGGTGTGTATCTGATCAATACTCTTACAGCGTGTGATTTTATATTCATCATGCACAGACTACAGACGGATACCACACGTCCTCTCACACGTTTACTATCATCCACTAACACCAGAGAATAAAGCCGAGATCGACAAGATCTTTAATTCACTGACATGCCCAACTCCTACTGCTGCACTTCAAGATCCTGTTGTGGAGAATCGTCCCATAACGACTTGGGGCCGCACCCTTCACGTTCCGCTCAGTATTGTATATATTGCAGATCTTCCCTTTATAAATACACAAACTCATTCTAACATGCATCTGCAAATTCACTTGTTTTACATTGTCACTGTAAGCATTGCTTGCTACGTGACCGCGATATGCTGACCCCTTTGTGATTTGTTTGCAGGCTTCCTTGACACGTATATGAGTTCGCAGACCAGTATGGTCCACCGTATCTCCCTCAGCGGTCGGTAACTTACGTTCTGTCATTGTTCATTCTCGTGCGAATCACCTTAACTCTCCCATGTGACTCACTCTAACTCGGTGGGCGCTCTCGTAAATGCGTTGATCAGCAAAAACAAGGTCCCGACCTAGTCACTGATCAACGAATTTCCCAAAGCGCTCCCATATGTTCAGTCAGTCTCACTTACGATTTGCTTACAATTCGCGAGCACGTCGCAAAATGACTTAAAAGACCCTGTGTTCTTCCGAACTTCTGAGGTCCATGATCGGGATTTGACATTTGCAAGTATGCCTTACAGTGAGGGGCCTCCTCGGCGTAGCACATGGGAATATTTTCGACAAGGAACATATAATAAAGGCCAAGACACTCGAGGTGCTCCATCGAATTCTGCTACAATGTCATGTCTCCTGTTACCGAGATCATCACGCTCATCAGCAACCATGCGATGAAGACGACTTCCAACTTCCAGGAAGTCCTTGAGCTCTTGCGCCAGCCTACTATTGAAGGCATTCAAAAGATGTACTGGGGTGACCGCGTCCAGCAGCCCGGGGTTAGGCAGTGGTTCATCAGTGCATTCTAATTCCAGTAACGCTGTATTGAGCTAATTATGTGCACAGATTGGGACCGCCGTTCTCAGGGGTCAGAGTCGACGGCCGCAACAATGGCACAGGTCAAAGAGAAGCTTGACGCGATCATCGAATCCCCACCGACGTGCAGGCTCGTCGCTTTCAATCCCTTTCTGCCTACCAAATGCTTTGCCGCGCCGTTCACAGAAGTCATCATCAGCACCATAAAGCCTGAAACGGACCTGAACGCATTCAACAAGGTAGTTGACGAATTGTTGGAAGTGTGCCATGACTTTGAGGGATGCTACGGAACGGCGTGGGGATACGTCGTTGATGCAAGTGAAGTAGTGCTGTTGGTAGGATGGGAAAGTCCAGAGGTGAGTGCGCGTAATCTAGAAAGTGTGAAACGATCCCCATCTTGTCTGCAAAATATGAATCAGGTCATGGATCATCTGATAAAAGCCAAGACGCTTACCTCCCGCTTTCTATACAACTAGCGTCTACTTTGTAACTCCTTGAGTTTGACTAATGTTTGGGTCAAGCAAGGTTTCTGTCGATGCAGGCGGCAATTCTCGAGTAATTTATTTATTCGAGATCGAAGTGCACGGAGTCCTATTGCCTTATATGTGATTGTGACATGACTAAGTGAGCGCGGCAGTCCTGTCTTCCATATAACATGTCCTCCTCACCGGGTTTTTGGCAGAACTCTGCCCACAACGCTATCGACGACGGTCCGCCCCACCATGATTTGGCAAGCAGCACTTAAAGTTGCAACGGCAATTGTCATCACCATTCATTGCAATATCAATACAACCGCGTCTCTATTACAGTGTATTGCGTATGGAACTGCAGTCCAAGTTTGATTTTCAAAAACTCGGCTTCGCTGCCTTTACTGGAACTTTCGCCTACTTTTCCTTCCTGGAAAGAAGGTATCGGAAATCACATTTGAATGGGGTATGGTTGTCGGACCTAACCAGGGTTAAGGGTCCAGCGCCTGCCGACAGGTAGTTTGCTGTAGCATGAGAATCATTACATGCCAGCAGTACTCCAAAGCTTTTATTCGCACCTCAGATAGTGCGGGCCAGGGTTTCCATTGATATGGGATGCTCAAAAACCCAATCTTTACTCGATTTCATCGTGGTTTACAGCGAGTTTCTTCCAATCCTTCTTCCCATCGATCATGTCACAACTATCTGACCTGCGCATCTCTGATAACGCACAACTCGTCCTTAGTGCTGCAGCTTGTCTTGGTGTCATAGGAGTAATTGCTCGGGCTTACCGGCCTAAATCAGGTCTTCCCCTCCCACCTTCCCCTCCTACCTGTCTGCGCCTTTGGGTGACTTTGTCTCGCGAATCCTATCGAGACGTGGCACCAATAGGATGAACTTTGCGAACCATTCACGTTTCCGTCGGCACTTCTTGCAGTGTATGACCGTCGGAGCGCTCACCATAGCCCAACGGCTTCTCTTGGTGGTAAAATGACGAACATCCGTGACCCGTCGCACGATAACGTACAGCCTCAGGTGACACATCGATTGGTATGGAGAACTTAAAAGTCACTCATCACTTGAATGTATCACAACTAACCATGGGTTCCCTCCAATCCCTCCTTTCGCTCATCCCATACAACACAGCTGACCTGCGCATCTCTGACAATGCGCAGCTCGTCCTCAGTGCCGCCGCTTGTGTTGCTGTAGTAGGAGTAATTGTTAGGGCCTATTACCCTAAATTACCGAGCGGCCTTCTTCTCCCACCTTCCCCTCCTGTTTCTTCGAGACTTCAAGGGCACGTCCTGCCGTATCCAAAGTGAAGTGTCTCATTCGACTCATTGACTTTTGAATGCTGATTGTGTATAATCGCCGACAAGACCATTTCTCACTGTAGAGGGATGGATAGAAGAGTACGGTCCTCTGATCACTATTCGATCAAAATTTGAGAGGATTGTTATTATCGGTCGTTACCAAGTCGGTCCCTCCATGCTGCGTTATCATATCCAGGCTCAACGACATTCTGTTGCAGGCCGCCGTGGACATTATGGAGAATCAAGGTAAATTGCTAGCTGATCGTCCTCCCATGATTGCTGCTGGTGAAATTTTTGGCGGGGGAATGAGCATTGCCTTTTCACCCTTTGGTGACAGGTTCCGTCGGATGCGTAGGTCAGTAGTCCGCCAAACTTCCCTCATCTATTTTATTGTACGCCATGATGCAGAGCGTTACATTCGCATCTCCAGCCCAAAGCAGCTGAGGCCTATCAGCCACTGCAGATGTCGCACGTGAAGAACATAGTTCTTGGCGTTCTCGATGACCCACAAAGCTTCCAGCACCATGTGATAACGTATGTGTTGTTGGTTATGATTGTATTAGTGCTTTGCTTACGGGCGCTTTAAAGTTATGCTGCAACGACAATTATGAAAATTACATATGGGAAGAACACGCCCACGTCTGCGTCTGATCCTGAAGTCATTGAGATGCGTAAATTGGTTGGGGTGGTCTCTCAAGTCATGCGCCCTGGTGTTTATATGGTGGAATCGATCCCATGGCTTAAATACCTTCCTTGGTATGGTCGAGACTTAAAGGCATGGTTTGAGAGGAGCAAGAAACTCAGCCTTGGTAACCTGAACCGCGTGAAAGCGCAAATGGTATGCATTTCTTTTTAAATATTCACTTCATGTTTGAGTCGTTCCACAGCATAGCAATGAGGACATCGGCCCTTCGTTCACGAAATATATGCTAGAAAACAGCCATCTCTATGGATTGTCAGAGTTAGAGATGGCCTTTCTTGGTGGTGCCCTTTTTGGAGCTGGATCGGATACGGTGAGATATTGTTTTGTTGCCTCCGAAGATTTGTGCTTAAAATCAGGCGAAAGACTTCTATGTCAATATGTACGGTGCTCATGGCAGCCGCATGTTTTCCCGAAGAGCAAGCTAAAGTTCAGGCCGAGCTTGATGCGGTCGTCGGAAGGCACCGAGGTAGCTTGATGGATTTCCCTATCGTGGTGTTGTGCATTCAATGATTTTTGGATTAAAGCGCCGACCTTCGCCGATCAAAAATCCCTTCTTCACCTGCAAGCGTTCATTTCTGAGGCTTTGAGATGGAGACCTGCAACTGCTAGTGGTGGGCGTTTTCATTTTCGTTTTGTATCTAAATTTCACAACATTTACGCTGCAGGATTTGCTCACCGAACAACCACAGACGTGATTTGGGCAAGTAATTTTTGAACAACTTATCGCGCGAATGATAATCTAGCCCTCCAGAAAAACTATTGTATTCCAGCTGGGACCACGGTATTCGGCAACCATTGGTAAGTAATTTGCATCAAAAAATGAAGGATTTAACAGTCACTACCTTAGGTCGATCTCTCGAGACCCAGATGTCTACCCGGAGCCTGACGCGTTCAAGCCTGAGCGCTGGATCAACGAGCAAGGCGGCCTGAATGATTTAAAATTCTTTATCTACGGCTTTGGTCGGCGGTAAGCACCGTCTTTCGGCTATTCGTTTTTGAATGTCATTCCTTTCAGCGTATGCCCCGGTCAACATGTCGCGAACAGGTAAAGTTATCTTGCACGTGCGCAGTCTTCCGAACTCACTTCAGTTTGTACAGATCGGTGTTCATCATTGCACTCCTTATTCTGTGGTCCTTCAGGCTCACTCTGGATCCTACGAAGCCATTTGAGGACATGGGATTCATGAACGGGTTTATGCCAAATGTTATGCCGTGCACATTTGAGTTTGAGAAGAGGATTCCGGAAGCGGAGCTCAGGCGCATGATGCAGCATTATCCTGAGGCTGCATAAAAAGATTTGATGCCAAGATGGGCCAGGGAGAGAATGAAGAATATATTCTTCATGAATCACCCATATCGGTGCATAATCCGCAGTACGTTTTAATTTTTTCCAAGCCCATTTTGAATTGGGCATTATATAGTTGTCTCCATATCCCATTATATCCTGTCTTCCCTCATCCAATGCAGACTATGATAACATAGTATCACAGAGTCCACATCAAATGGTTGTGATATTCGTATCGCTGTGTGTTCGCGAACACAATTGTCCTGATGTTCACTTGAGCAGCTTACTCATGAATGACACACATGACAGTGTTAAGATGCTAATAGAGCCTCGGCGACCTCTACAGTGGCTGTCACACACTTGCTGCGTCAGGATTCACAGAAGGAACCTCCTTTCTCCTTCTGTATGGTTTAACTAGGGAGACCACTTGGACCCCTCCAATTACCGACTCCAAAGCGAAGTTGTATGAAAGATAAACAAATCAGTATGCCATCACGGGGTGAAGAAAACAGAGTGCACTGCTCAGTCCGTCACCCAGTGGGAAGAGCCTTTCATGAGACAGACTGGTCATATTGTGTCATAAACATGTCCTACGACATGGTCATAGGTCGTTCTCTTGTCGGTGTGGTGACTTTGTCGCTCTTGTCATTTTTGCCTGAAACGAAAGAAACTACCAGCATACTCTGCCAGTGCAACGGACAATCAAACAGGAGGTAACATGGATGAACATATAATGACCGGTCCCTAGACTTCGGCTGCATGCTGCATGGCCAATGGGGGACTTGAAGGAGGAGTCCCGGACTATACGCGCCTCACGGTCCTCCAAGTAGGATATTATTTAAATCACACACGGCCTGTGAAAAAAAGCTGTACCCCCGATTGTTGGGTTAGAATTGTTGATCATGCTTATGTCTCTCAAAGGGCACATTCAGAAATCAATCAATCTACTAGTACTATGATCCTTCCTCCTGTTTGACACCTTGACGTATTGGTGTCTTGAATCATTTTACCGCACACCTATTGAATGCGATAGTGGTGATGCTAACATTCTGAGGTCACTCCTTCCAAGTGGTTGGAGGTTCCTCGGGATAATGCTGCATCATGCGCCTGAGCTCCGATTCCGGAATCCTCGTCTCAAACTCAATAGCGCATGGCCTGTCTACTTTCTCCCCGATCATGAACCCCATATCATCCAATGGCTTCGTATGATCCAGCGTGAGCTCAAAGATGGATTAGATTGAGAAGAAAATAAGGAGGGAGAACTCACAAGGTGCATGGTGGAAGGAAAATCGTTTTCTCCCAAATGGTGCGACAAAGCTGCATTCAACAGCATTCGCAAATTCGGACTCATATAGGATCTGGTAGGTGTGTTTCGGCTGCGACTGTGTGTAGGTGAGTTTAAAGATGAAGAAGAGAGAGAATTCATGGGATGGATATGACAAGTTAATACAAGGTATGAGTCTGACGACCGTGTGAAGTCTAAGTGTTGACTGATAACCTTATGTCAGTACCAACATGTCCCAATTGTGGGAAGGTCTTCACCAAGGACAGCAGTGTCACTCGGCATTCTAGCCAACCCCGAACTTCCTGCCATAGCTCCATCTGTGACATTGTCAATATCTTGCAGTTCGCAGAAGTAGAACGGCCATCGTGTCACGCCTTGCTTGAAGCTGATGCTACTATGCGTAATTTGGACGATCAGGTGCATGCCAACTTCGACAACGACTTCAATCCTATCGACAATGACTTTGGAGCAGCAGAAGGGTTATTGGAGGAGCGGTACGAGGGTGCCGGGATGTGCTACTCTGAGGATGGACTAACCTTCTTAGATCTATTTGATGCCGATGAATTCGCCGAGTACAGGAACGAGAACCTTTTCTACCCTTTCGCATCCAAGGAAGAGTGAGAAATAGCTGATTTCCTTCTGGGTTCACCCCTTAGCATGGCAGCTATTGACGTGTTTCTGAAGCTTTCTCTGGTAAGTACTATCTTCGCACTCTGCAGCATTGATTAGTTTACCCCTTGTTCAGATCCAAAAACTACACCTTTCATTCAGCAATGTCAGAGAACTGTGAAGCCGCACAGAGATGCTTCCTAGCGGACCAAGCTGGAAGTGTCGGATCATCCCCTCCATCTATCCCACGAAATACCCAATTTGATTGTTTTGGAGGGACCCTATTGAATGCCTAGAAAGTCTTTTCTCCAACCCGCCTTTCCACAACAAGCTTGATTTTACCCCTCGTCGTGTTTACACGACAGCAGCGCATCTTGTGCGGGTATACTCGGAATGGATGACAGGTGATGCTGCTTGGGAAATGCAAGTACGTGCAGCAGTTACATTTTTTTTTGTCATCTCAACACGCCTCCTGTAGACTCAGTTTCCTAGAGGCGCCACAATTCTCGGCACCGTACTGTCCTCCGACAAAACTAATATCACCACCATGACTGGTGCCAGACTCGCCCATCCGCTTCTTCTGGGACTCGCTAACATACGCATGCATACTCGCACAAAACTTTCATCAAAAGCTTTCCTACTTACGGCTCTACTCCCCATCCCAAAGTACCTACACCCTATTCAACGAATGCGAGGAGTGCTTGAAGATCGCCTTATGCACGAATGCCTTTCGATTATTCTCAAGCCGTTGATGAAAGCTGCTGAGGTTGGGATCATGATGTCTGATCCTGTCGGAAATGTTCAGCACTGCTTTACTCCTCTCGCTGCATACATTGTCGACACCCCAGAGGCAGCTATGCTTGCCTGTGTACGCGGGAAGATGTCTCCATTTACCATGGCATGTTACCTGCAGTTTGGTGACAGTTTTTGGCACCCCCCTCGTACCCGCTCTATCATGCTTGACCAGCTCGCCAGCATCACGGTCGATCCCACTGACCTCGAGGCTTATTTTGACGCCTGCACTGAATATCAGCTAAATGGTGTCTGTGCACCATTCTGGATGGACTGGCCGCTCGCTGATCCCTCAATCTTCCTGATGTCAGAAGCACTGCATCATTGGCACAAGGAGTTTTTCGACCACGACTGTCAGTGGTGTCTAGTAGCCGTTGGCGCCTCAGAACTTGATTTGCGGTTCTCGATCCTACAGCCTGTCACAGGTTATCGCCACTTCACTGGCGGAATCTCGAAACTCAAACAAGTCACAGGGAGAGGTCACCGTGATATCCAACACTACATCGTTGGCCTGATATCCAGCGCAGCCCCTCGTTGTTTTGTCATCGCAATCTGTGCCCTTATGGATGTTCGATATTTGGTGCAGAGCCCTGCTCCTGATGATGACTTATTGGCAAGTATAGACCGAGCCCTTATGACCTTCCACAAAAATAAGAACATCATCATGACTTTGGGCACGCGGATGGGAGCCAAGAAGCCTATAGATAACTGGTTTATTCCCGAACTAGAATTCCTTCAGAGTATTACTTCTGGCACACGCAACGTGGGCGCTCTGATTCAATGGTCTGCAGACACGACTGAGCACGCCCATGTTTCGGAAATCAAAGACCCCGCATGTCGTACCAATAACAATGACTACGATCCCCAGATCTGCCGGCATCTAGATCGAGATGAAAAGTTGCGATGTTTCGCAATCGCCGCGATGCTGAAGAGTCATTGCACTTACCATGATCCCGATGACAGGCCTGGAGATGTTCCTGAGGAGGAGGAAGATGAGGGGATAATCGATTGTGACGAGTGGGAACAGGACGATCCGCGAACTGCCCTTCTAGAAGAAATGAACCACACCCGCGCCACCATGAATTACTTCAGTAAAGCAAGGCAAATACTTGCTGCAAGGGATGGAGCTATTTCTCACCCTCCTCGAACATCTATCGCTGGTGGTACCACAATCCACCTTAACTACAATCCTTCTTGCACCAGAGTTAGTGTTGATGACGTCACCACCACTTTCAACATACTGGATCTGCGTGTAGCACTTTCAGAATTCTTGCTACATGATGCAAGGGAGAGAGGAGCAGTTTATGGGGTGGGGGGTCCAAGAAGAAGGCCGTTGATCGACAGGACTCCAATCCTTCCATTTGACCGTGTTCAACTATGGTATACTGTTCGCCTTCAGCAAACATCTTTCCACAATCCTAGCATCACATTACCAGCTCAAACCATACACGCATCTCCTCCTGGCCCTGGGTGGCCAAAAGGCCGACATGACACTGTCCTTGTCAATGTCGAAGGGGGGTCTGTGTGGCCTGAATCAGGTCTAACAGGTGAGAATTACTTTATTGATATGAACACATACAAACCTCATTCTTTGAAGGTCATGCAATATGTGAATTGCACCTCATCATACGTCCAATACCTCAAAGAGGTTCTTGCATCATGTGGAGAAATCGATATCTGTGCTATGTGCAGGTTCTGACCATTGGTTCGGTCGATCCTGCCACTGAGATGATCATTCTGAAATGTGCCAAATATACTGATGGCACTCCCGTTGGTAATATTGTTCCCCTGTGTCAACTTCGCTCTTTTATCAGCCTCATCCCTCGGCTAGGGGATGTGGTGGATGCACAGTTCACGAAAGCAATGTCTATGCACTATTCTCAATCATTTCTTTTGAACAAGTACTTCGATAAAGATTTTTACTATGCCCATCATTATGCTTCATGTAGGCAATAGCTAGACGACATGTTGTAGCATTCTGTTCTCAATTTAGGTCAATCTTGTGTGGAAAAAAAGAACAATGCGCAGCTCTCTCAAAGAAACTCAGCGAGGGTCCAAGCTCTATTGTCAGTGTCATGGCAGCGCCAGCGGCATCAGCATCCTCTGTGTCAAGCTATCTCCTTGCAACAGTTACTGCCTCCATCCCTGCCAGTGGCGACTTTGAACACCAGAAGCAGGATTACATGGACAATTTGATGAAGCACGAACTGCTATTGGGCCCCAATGACAATTTAATGGGTGGTAGACGAGTTCTGTGGGAGGAGGGCATACAAGGCCGCGCATCGTCCATCCTCGACATCCTTATTCCGCAGTCTAAACTAAAAATTCAAGATATTCATAACATCAAGTATGTCAAGAAGAAGTACAATTGCATCATACACAGTTTATCTGTATTTCAAAATCCACGGAGTATCAATGCGCAATGGAGGCTCACCCATGTCTTTAATGGTCCACTGAAGAAGACGAAACGGAACCAGCAGGAATCACAGAATGATACAGAGGAGGAGGGGGAGGGGGAGGGGGATGCAGAGGGAGATTTCAGTGTAGGCGAAGACATGATGGAGACCGATGGCAGCTGGTTGCAAAAATCATATCAGACTGGAGAAAAATGTCCAATCCTGGCTGTAAAGGTGTCGGAAGAGAAGAATTGGGAGCGCCTCTTCAGAAGCATCTACTATGACATGTGTATCAAGGTCAAGTCTAAGACGGGCTTGCTGCCCTTCCAAGTTTTACCAGAACCGCGATACTGGTCTTCAGAGTTTGCTAACAATCCTGTACCAGACGCCAATGATTCCAGGAAACCTGATCTAGTCCTTATGGACTATAGATGGAGGAAGTACAGTAGGAAGGAGAAGTGTTGGGCGGATGTTCTGACAGGAGTAGAGATCACCATCTCAGAACTGGCGGAGGGAAAGGGCATACCAATATTCTTGGGGGTTGCAACCAAAGGCTACCCTATGATGCACGAACAGCTGTGGCGTCGGTTTGTTCTTCTTTTCAGTATCGCGAACTTCAAGCTTTGTGCACATTACTTGGACCGTTCTGGAATGATCATCTCAGCACCCATGCCAACTGGCCGAGATGCTGTACGTTTCGCCAATGTCTTAAACACAATGACACTAGGAAGCCACTCTGCTCTTGGTCTCGATCCCACCATTCACACTTGCAGCACCATTTGCTCCGAGTCCATCACTCATGCTAATTTACCGGAGGGGGTTGATTCCATGCCAACTGGAGCGGTGGGTTGGGTTATAGGTGATGAAGGCGAGGTGTATTGGATTATGGCGATTCTGTGGAAAAGTTGTGGTCTTTTTTCACGCAGAACCGTTTGTTATCGCGTCCAGGACAAGGATGGACAGGAGTACACATTGAAAGACTGTTGGGTAGACGCGGACAAACTCGATCAAGAGGTCAATTTTCTCTGAGCCATCGATGGTATTCCAAATGTGGTCCAGCTAAAAAAATATTGGGATGTTAAGTATGGTAGAAATGTCAACAGCACGTCATACATTTGTGAGCATGTCAGCGATTACCTCCCACCTCCACCAATCTATGTTGACAAGATTCACCGTCGCATGCTTTTGACTCCCTGCGGACTCCCGCTAACCAACTTCAAGTCTATACCAGAGCTGATCAATGTTTTTCTTAACCTTGTTGTTGGTAAGTTCCCCTGGTGGTCACCTTAAATTTTGGTGCTGAAAGATTCTGGTAGCCCACAAAACAATGACGACACAGTGGAAGGTTCTTCATGGCAATCTCAGTCCCAACAACCTCATCATATACGAGGGAAAAGGCTACTTTATCGACTTCGACCACACCAAATTCATCCAAGTTGACAATCAAGCAAACAATTCGCGTGGAACAGTAAGTTTGAAATTTATATATATTTTGTATTTCTCTTGATCTTGTTGTTCGAAGGGAACTATACCATACATATCCTACCACCTTCTCAAGCTCATGGGAAAATCTCCAATGCCTGTCTCAATCGAACACAAGGCCTCCGATGACCTCAAGTCGCTCTTCTATATTCTCCTTGAATTTATGACTATATACGATGGGCCTGGCGGCCAAATCACAAATGATGGGGTGCCCCCCGAGAACTCCCGTAGATGGCATAAAGCCTACGTTAAGATGGACAAAGATGGTCTCAGGACTAGTGGATCCCTCAAGAGAGAATTTCTTATGGACATGGCTCTGCATTACGAGCTTGCACCATATTTCCAAGCTTGCCGTCCCATCCTCGAAGACTGGCGCTCAGCAATTGGTCATGCGATATATTTTGATATGGACGTCTCTCACAACACAATTAGCAAGATCATACAACGGGGGCTGGATAACATCAGCAACTTTCCGAGTCCTCAGATTGAACCATCGATGCCATCTACCAGTCTACCAGGTTCCTCAGCTTCTTCTTCAGCCGTGGTCCTGGATCTGCAGCCTTGTCGTTCCATCCGGATAAAACACTCTGCACATTCATTGGTGCCATCAGTTTCTTCGACATTGTTCACACCTCCCCCCCCCCCCCCCACGCTCTCCGCCTGAGGCTTCGTTGAGTGATGGTCCTCATCATTCTAGGTGGAAGAAGAAGAGGCATGTTTCCACGTACTGATGTGTAAGCCCTGTGATGGGTTATCCACCTCTCACGGAACTCAAGAAAGTTATCATCTCTATCAAGAATCAACAAGACAGTGTTGTGTCCGGTGCCATTGCACAAATACTGACAGGAACATTGTTGAAGCTGATCAAGTTCTGGTGACTATCAGTTCAACGTCTGTACTTAAATCTACACATACGCGGAAGACTTTGTGTTCTTATTCGGCTCTAATAGTTTTATGTAATCAGAACTTGCTATATTTTTCAAGCGAATATTCCAAATACGCCTGTGAGCCATCCTCCACCACCCATTTCAATGCCTCCCAAGAAGAAAGCCAGACATATATCTCCGGAAAACAATTCCAGGAAGGATTCCAAGCCCTCTCGACAGAGTGTACGATCGAAGCGAGGTGTTGGAGGTCACGCAGCCCAGCTGCAAAAAGCTGGTGAGATGGTGATGGCCCCAACAAGGCAAAGGAAGGGCGCTATTGAGATGAGTGATTCGGAAGAAAATCCTATGGCTCCTTCGCAAGTCGCGAGAGCAAATAAAAAAGTAAGTGTTCTACTTGAGCTACTCAGCTAACGATGAACATTATTACAGGCTCCTGCAAAGGCCAAAGCTATACAGCCAGAACGCCAATGTGCTCGCTCTCCACGTCCATTCCTCCGCACTGCACACCACTCTGATAGGTTTGGGTTCAAGTCGCCGTCTGCTACAAACCTAACCCGACCTAGCCGCAGCCAGAACAAGACTAGAGAGACTGCTACGCTCGAGCGCAACACTTACGAAAATGACATGCAAGACAATGAAGATTTTTTCAAAAATACTGACGACAGCCACCAGCAGCATGAACAAGACGAACAAGATGAACTAGATGGTGAACATGACGACAAACGAGAAGATGCACAGGACAACAAGCAGGACAATGATCAGGACAACAATCAAGACAACAATCAGGACATATCGGAACAACAACAACAACAACAACAACAACAACAACAACAACAACAAGACCATGAACAAGATGAATGCAGTGAATGATATTCAAGGGAGGATCCGCAAACGGGCCGTCGTGATGATGAAGATAATCTGATGGAATCAGACCGAAACCAGGGCGAGGATTCCCGAGCAGACAACGAACATATCAATACAGGTGTTTTTGATGTCCTTGGGCAGCACCAGGCGAAAAATGGACGGTGCAAGGCTCCTTCACCAAGCCATCTATCAAGTGTAACCTTTTTTTCACACTTGAACTTGCAAACACTGACTTGCCCTAGTCCTCTCGCAGGCACTCGTGTCCGTGTTCCTGCTCGAAGTCTCCCCGTCAATACACAAACAAATGTGTAAGTTCTCATTTCTACCAAAGTGTGTGTCTAATCTCCTCCAACCAGATGTCTTGTCACCGATCTATTGAGAGTATTTGTGCTCCATCTGCTCATGTAAAACCTCCGTGCATGGCTCAAAATGTGCTGTCTACACAATGTTCTGCTCAAAGACCTCCGAGTCAGGGTTCTTCCGCTACTTGCTCCAAGTCCCTATACCCACCCATTTCTCATCCTTCCACCCATGCACTGACTCCTCGTCAGCGCTCTCCAACTCAATCAACCCTTGTTGGTGGCTCTAAATATCCACGTTCATTTCATACTTCCACCAGTAGACCAGTTTCATCGACCAGTCGACCAGCTTCATCGTCCAGTCGCATGCAGCCCCCCTCTCGTGGGCGCTCCTTATCAATGGCTCCACCTAGCCATGTTGCACGGTCAGATAATGTGCCTTCCCCCTCTCCTACTTCTCGATCTCGATCTCGTAGTCTTACGCCCAATGAGGGTGACCAGCCCAAGCACCAAGTGGAAAGGGCAAGCAAACAAGCAAACCCCTCGAAGCTTGGATTTTACCTGGACCTGTTGGCAGACGTTTCTTCAGGCGGCAAAGTTGGAAATGCGCCTACAGGCTGTGCTAACACACCCAATTCCAGAGCATCGTGACGTGGTAGCACTCGCACAGGAAGTCCTGGATGCAGAGTTATGGAAATACCACTCGAAGAAGATTAGGTCGGAGAACGGTAAGTCCCTCCATACTACTGGAGGTTATCACAATCTGATGTCCCTAGGATATTTCCCGGAATATCATGACCAGATGTCACGTTTTGTGAGTTCAGGTACTGTCTGAATGTACTTGCTGACAAGTAATCAGCTCTCCGATGACCTGTTTACATTCCGGACGGAAGTCAAGAAAGTTATCATCTCTATCGCAAAACAACTATACAACATCTTTGGCTTCCTGATTCGTCCGAGGTGAGTTATAACTGTGGGCGGCAACTCATTACATGATTTTTTTAGGGCAGGTACAAGAACTTTGTATTGCAGGTTCTTCGAGATGATGTCTAGATTTTTACTACGGCAACGGCAAAAAGGCGTTGAAGTTGACAGAGGAATTTCGACGCTCAATTCCCATCAATGGCCTCATTCTCGTAGCTGCGGTTGTATGATTATTTTATTTAATTCATTTATTCCCACTGCTGATCAGTCTCTCCTGCCAGTCTATACTGGTAACCATCTTAGGAACAAATCAAAATTGCCGTAGAATACATGATCATATTTGGCAGGAAAATAAACCCTCATATAATTCCCACAGCTACAATATCAAGGATTCATGCATTCACTGATGCTGTAGTTCAAATCCTATCATTTGTTAATCACTCTCCGCGTTCATAACGTGAACTACAGTATCAAGTTGATCGACATCATAGACATCCCCTGTCCCTCGCAGATTATCAGACAACACAACGAAGGGGGTCTTCTGGTGCAAATGTAAGTGCACTAATGTTGTACGAGGTTTCAGCTCTTGAAATCCTAAGTACATTGGAGGGGTGTCATTTAACAGTCATCGTGATAATTTATCAATAGAATATGTTCCAGTCGGTGTCCAATGAGATACAGTAATAGGAGAGAAGTGCGTGTCTAACCGGTAGTCCCATGAGACGTCAGTATGGCAGTGAGGCTCAAAAAAAACCGCTCTCATGTAGCATCCTTGCAAGTTTCTCTTCTTCCTTCTCGCGAGGCTCCCGTTCTAAGCTCAGCTGCCAGAAGACATCGCTGACATCTTTGTCACCAAATTGTCCGAGTGCATCGTCCAAGTAGACAAGAACAGATGGGAGGGGATGGAAGTTGTGCGGCTGAGTCTGCCAGCGTTGAAGGTCTTGGATTACCTCTGAAGTCTTCTGGCGTTTTCGAAAGTTCACCAGGTTGTTCGGAAGGGAATCCTTACTGCCGTCTTGAATGTGTGTCAGTGCAGTAAGAAAAACGCCTGCTTTAGGATCAATTCTCTGGTGTTCATAGATGTGGCTTCGACTACGCACCGACGAACGGAACGCACGGCGGGGAAACTTTCGCAAGAGCAGATCGATAGACGTTGAACGTCTTGTAAGAATTGATTGTTGTCTCGCATGTTTCCAACTGTGACATGTATCTGGTGCTCACTTGCTCCCAAGAGCGCTTGAGCCGACGAATAGGTGACGAGTTTAGGCCAGATACGATAGCTAACATGGTCGAAAAATTCTGAATATGCTTGCAGCGCTATAGGAAAGGCATAAGTAGAGCACGGCAGTATAACGTAACAAACAAACATCAGCAACAGTGATGAAGTGTTTCATAATGGAAGCGCGTCTGCGGGGTTCGTCTTTGCAAAGGATGGCATATGCAACCCAGTTGGCTACCTAAATAGGTGCATCTGTAAATCGCGAACCATGCGCAGACAGAAAACTTACCCTGTTACTACGGCGAATGAAGTTCGCGATGTTATCGTGGTGATCAGTTTTCGATTCCTTGGACCGCAAAAGGCATTCAGAAGGTCGAATCTTCTGGTATAATTGGCTTTCTGTGATGGTCAATTGCCTTGCTAGCTCCAAGGCGTCAATGTCAAGCAGCTCCATCCGTTTAGGGACTATTGGCGGAGGTGGCGGATCCAGAGCCGTGCTAATCGTCACTTTGTTTGGATCACGCCCTCGCTGCTATTCCACAAGTCAGATAGTGCGACACCGACGCTAACCAAGAACGCACAGCACGTTTAATGATCACCAAAAGCTGCTTTGCCGCGGGAAGAGTGATGACTTCATCGCCAGAGACAAATTCCATCATGCGGTCAAGGATATATGTGTCGTCTCTCTCTAGCACCTCGTCATCTTGAACCATGGACTTGATTGTGTTAATAACCCTAGAAAAGTTCAGCTACAAGGTCTGAAACAAATGGCGTGGCTTACCTGATACGAATAATCTGTTGCTTGAGCTTCCGCCACTCCGCCAGCTCCGGGGAGTTTAGACCTTCTGGAGGCTGGATCCAGAAGCGCTCCACCAACAACCTGAACAAGTCATCAAGGGTAGTGAAGGTCTTGTAAGTCATCAAGAAAGCTTTGCTGAACTTGGGATCTATAATCAAGAGTTAAAATAATAGAGATATACCGGTGGAATCTTACTTACCAGCATATTCATGAGCGGTTAACCGCTCAACTAGGCCTGCAACAGTGCCACCTCGCGTAGTTCCATCAGGGTCAACTAGTACATCATTAGGATCATACGTCGGTCTCAGATACCAGGGTTTTTTTTCGGCATTGAGGGTAATGAGATAGTGAGAAGGCGCGTCGTCACCAAAGAACGCCCTTATCTTGTCCTGTCGAGGGGGAGTTCTTATCATGCGAAGATCTGTGGTGTAAGTCAGATTATGCCAATAGTTACGAAACAGAAGAAAAGCCACCTTCATGGTCAGCCCATGGTAATGTATCGGATATCAGGGGTGGGTTCCCGTTTGTTACAGGCGGAGTCAGTGTTTCTGCTATAGGCGTTGTAAGCTCGATACTGGCAACGTTCCTGAGGAAGTCATCTGTGTCGTCATTGTTCGTATCGTAGAGTTCGTCATTCGTGCCACTAAGTGCCTCATTGGGCAACATTGTTGTGATGAGGCTACGTTGTGACATACGCCACTCAATGGGACTCTTGCTACTCCGTTCAAGAATATCGGTCTGTTCCTGCACGATGATGAGAAGACTTTCGAGAGTCTGTCGCAAGACCTGAAGATTAAAATCCAGCGAGGAATTCAGCGCTTCAAGGTTATCATAATTTTCATCTCGACCGCGCCACGTTTCGCATTCTTCTACATGACGGATCCGCTGGGTAGTCGTGAATAGTGCAGCGCCATCGTCGTATACAGCCTGAGTGGTGGCTTCGAACGACCGCACGAGGACTCTGGCTTTCTCAACTGTCCGGAGATATCGAGCACCATCATTGAGTTCCTCCTGATCCACAGGTTCGATGTCGACATGCCGAGCAACGTGCAGGTCGCCAAGGTGGTGGAGGAGGGAAGACAACTGATTCATCATTCGTAAGCCGGCTGGCGTTACCACGTCGGCTATAGCAAAATTTCAATCGGGATACACGAACTTATAGGATATGAACTCACCAGGTGCAGAAGCCCTTAAGCCTTCAACGAACTCGCTGGACTTGTCTTGTACCTGCATTACAAGCCCCACGATATCGTTTAAGACTGCGCCGTCCAAGCTTCGCCGGGGAGCCTCCTCATTGCCATCGATGGTGACCCAACCAAATCCTTTCCAAGCTCCAGCAGCCCCGGCGCCAGCCTTCCCAAGTCCTGCATGCGGTGCCGAGAAGTACCCCTGCAAGTGTCTCGGACCCTTATTGGAATCCACCTCGTCACTGCGACAACTTTGCGTGATCGACACATATTCGGCAACAGAGCGCTCAAGTTCGGAGGCATCAGCCGCAAGGTTGCCGATGCTGTCACTTGCACTCCAAGGACCGTCATTCAAAATCGCTCTCGCAGAGAGTAGAAACTTTGAGAGTGTCGCGATAGCTCGACGTTGTGCAGGAACGAGTAACGTATGTGACGCTGTGCTGGTGCTCTGTTGACCTTGTAATCCTTTCGAAATAAAATAACTCGGTATTTGTCCGAAAGAAGGGCCAGAGACGTAGAGTAGATCGCGAACTGAAGCGATAGCGGCACTAATGAGGCAATCAACGATTACTTCATCATCTGCGAGGCGAGGGACTCCAAACTGCTGCAGATGTGTGATGACAGAGCGAATGGATTGTTGAGATCGTTCTAGCAACTCAGAAATGAGTTCTGGTGGACGAGGAGAAAGTACTTCCTCCAGAGATGGCGATGCAGTCAAGAGCTGAGAAGAGTCTTCTGGTGGAAGTTCCTGGACTTGGGGAAGCATGGGTAATGTGGCAGCTTCCTTTAATCGAGAGCCCTTTCTGGACACGGGCGGACGGTGAGCGTACGAGAAGAGACGAGGATCTTGATCCATGGACAACGACATCTGGTGGCCAGTAGATGAGCTCTCCCACATGGTAAGACTTCTCTTCAGTACTTGGTCAGTCGGCGAACCGGAAAGAGCACTGGGAATGCGGTACGTATGACGATTCGAGGGAAGGGCAGACGAGTCTGTCTGGGCACGGGCGCGGCCTGGTGGAAGGTCTGCGAGAAGAAAAGACGAAGATGGTTTTTGGGGAGCCGTCAGAGCCACCGGAGCACCATTTAGGAGATTTGGGTGATGAGATGATGACGTGTTGGGTGGACGTGCGGGCTCCGATGGATTTGACTGAGATTGAGGATCATCATTTACAACGGATAGAGTGTCGACATCCCCATAAGAAGCAAAACCTAGACCAGCGCCAGTGCCAGCGCGAGAGCTCAATTGTGATGAAGTTAAGCCCGCAAGGTCACAATCAAACGTCTCATCCTCCGTGTCGAACGGTAGATCACGAGATAGTTGCCCGGTGACTGTGTTGGCATAGTAAATCTATGTGACAAAAGAGCTATCAACTGAAACTGAGCGCTGAAGATAGGAAAATGCATACTTGACCATCACCGGAAACTTGAGGGATCCAGAAGTCTCTTGCAATTTCGGGAGGAGTGTCCGGCCTGAGCGGACTTGCTGGGATTGCGGGAAGCCCCCTTACGCTCATCCGTGCTACGTTGGAGACTTCGGGAAGGCGCGAAGTTGATGAACTCTCCATGATAAAAGCGTGAAAAGATCAATCACGGATGATATCAAGGTGAATTGTGTTGGCTGATGAGGCAGGTATTCACATCTATTTTAAATGTTTGCATTGCCCTTATGATGTGCATCCATGAACAAGTTCATCATCCATGTGCATGACGCATGAATTATTGACCCCCCATCAGCAGTGCCTTGATCAGGATGGCAGTTATAGCACACGCGCACGCGCACACTGCATCGCAACCGCCAGTCTGTGCGAATCAGATATCCTTGCTTACAGGTCGAGCCTACACGCATAACATAGCAGCCATCGAGGTCCATCAACATCAATAGTTAACAGCTATTCAGAAAACAAAAACCTTGACCCCGGGTATTAGTAAAAACGAATCACAAAAAAAAGTGTCCGAACAGTACACAAAGAACCATATACTGTATACTGTCATCAGAACGTACAGGCCAGCCCGTGACGAGCAGTAATTACTTATGAAAAGGATCGTGGGCGCTAACAAATGACGGGCACAACGATCAAGAACTCACCGCAGCCAAAACTACACAAACAACTTTAAACCGAACAGGCATTCAAAATTGCGTATTTGCAATGACCACAGCATCCTACGTAGCTGGGAGAAGGCTTCCTCTTCACCAGTTCATGCTGCTCTCTCGCAGAATGGGTGCGGAAATAGTTCCAGGGTTGAGGTGACGACGCTCCCTCATGGCAGGAGTGACACGGCGCTCGTAACCGTCATCATCACCCCGGACACCTTGGTATCCACGTAAGCTGTCTTCCGCATAGTAAAAGCTCCGCCTGCGCTGGCCGCCGATGCTATCCCGATCAAAGTCCTGACCATCAGGGCGGACGCCTGCGGGATCGCCGACAGTTTCAGAGAGACGGCGATGGGACACCTCTTTTCGGCGCTTGTAGTACCGATAAGCGACGATAGCAAGGATAATGAGCGCGATGGCACCAAGCGATGTTACGACACCGATGATCGCGTCTTGGCGGACTTTAGAAGAACTTGAACTACTGCTAGTGCTGCTGCCGCCTGGAGTGGGACCTGAAATGGACGACAGATCAAGAGTGGGGTCAACGCATTGGGCAAGCGACGAGGGTATACTGCCTGCTTGTCCAGTATAGAACGCGGACTTTTTATTGGAGATGAGCGAGGCGAGTGTGGAGACCTGGTCATTAGAGATATAACCCTGCCACAGGGTACCAAGCTGTGCGACGTCTTGAATGCCGGTGTACGACGAGGGTTCGTAGACCAGCAGCTCGTAGCTTTGTACCTGAGAAGCTGGAATACATTTTCAGTACGTATGCATGTATGCGATGTTGGGGAGCACGTACCATCAATTCCAAGTGCTGTCGCAATTATCGTGGGGAAGTATTCAAATATTTGCCCTTGGGTATCCGAATTCGTTGCAACCCACTCCCAGTTAAGGGACTGATTGAACAGCACGCTGATCAGGGTATCAGTAGTTGGCACGTCTTGAACATTGAGCTGAGGCTGTGGCATAATAGCCTGCGGGAGATATGTCGGGATTGGTGCTGCAGAAGGCTGACTGGCTGGCGGAGCGGATGCGAGCGAGAACGTCGTCGTCGGGACATCAGGATTCGAATTAGTTGGGGAGGCTACGGACGTGGATGTTGCGGTATTGACAAGCAGAGATGAGACCGTGGACAGGTACTGGTAGTTGGAATTCGTGGTCGTAGGCATATGGGTACTCGACGACGACGTCATGGATGTCTCGTTAAGGGTGCCACTCGTGGTCGTGCTATTTGGGAAGCTGATGATGGTCGATGAAGCAGATGCTGTGGATGTGCCATTGCTCGAGCTCGTACCAGTCGTGACAGCAGTAGTAGCAGTCCTGCGACACAGTATGATCAAACAGTTTCAAGCACAACATGATTCGAACTTACGCGGTAACAGAGGTAGAGGAACCTGTCGTCGATGTAGCGGAATCCGTCGTCGACGTAGAGGAGGGAGTGCAACCAATTCCCAGACCCAGAATACCGCTGCAGTCGGTGGTCGTTGATGAAGATGACGCCGAAGTGGTATATGTTCCTGCAGAACTTGACGTAGAAGACGAGGAGGTGGGAAGTGGGCAACCAATTCCAAGTAGCCCATCACAAGATGACGTTGTGGTAGAAGAACCAGAGATCACAGGCGAAGTCGAAGCTAGCTGGCTTGAAGTGGTAGACGACGAGGTGGGAAGTGGGCAACCAATCCCAAGACCAAGTAGCCCATCACACGACGAGGCCGTGGTGGAAGCAGCCGAACTGGTGGTAGGAGAACCAGAAGTTACGGTTACGGGAGAACTTGAGACTGGCTGACTTGAAGTGGCAGATGACGAGGTGGGAAGTGGACAACCAATCCCAAGGCCAAGTAGCCCATCACACGACGACGTCGTGGTGAAAGCAGCCGAACTGATGGCAGCAGTGCTAGAAGCTACAGGCGCGCTCGAAACTGGTTGGCTTGAAGTGGGAGATGTGGACGTAGGAAGTGGGCAACCAATCCCAAGACCAAGTAGGCCATCACACGACGTGGTGGAAGCAACCGAACTGATGGCAGCAGAACTAGAAGCTACGGGCGCGCTCGAAACTGGTTGGCTCGAAGTGGGAGATGACGAGGGAAGTGGGCAACCAATCCCCAAACCAAGCAGTCCGTCACAAGACGACGCTGTGGTTGAAGCCGCCGAACTGATGGCAGCAGAACTAGAAGCTACAGGCGTGCTCGAAACTGGTTGACTCGAAGTGGGAGATGACGAGGGAAGTGGGCAACCAATCCCCAAACCAAGTAGTCCGTCGCAAGACGACGTTGAAGCCGCAGAACTGGTGGCAGCAGAACCAGAAGATACAGCTGCACTCGAAGTAGCCGCACTCGAAGTAAACGCACTCGAAGTAGCCACGCTCGAAGCAGCCGCGCTCGAAACAAGCTGGCTCGAAGTGGGTGATGACGAGGGAAGTGGGCAACCAATCCCCAAACCAAGCAGTCCGTCGCAAGACGAGGCCGTGGTAGAAGGAGCCGAACTGGTAGCAGGGGGACCGGAAGTTACAGGCGGGCTCGAAGCTAGCTGGCTTGAAGTGGTAGACGACGAGGTGGGAAGTGGGCAACCAATCCCCAGACCAAGCAGCCCATCACAAGATGACGTTGTAGTAGATGCTGGGTTGGAGTTGGATAATGTGGCAGACGATGCAGGGGTCGATGACGATGAGCTAGACGGGGAAGTGATAGGCGAGGAAGTGATAGGCGGGGAAGTGATAGGCGGGGGAACAACCTATACCTAATCCCAAGACCCCATCACATGACGAGGTGGTCTGTGACGCGGAGGTTGAGGGACTAGAGCTCGTAGTAGGAGTGCCAGTGCCTGTGGACGAGATTGCCGCGCTGCTGGACGTGGATGACGTTGGGGGACTCAAGCCAAGTCCGCTTCCAACCCCACTCAATATACCACCTAAGAATTAGGATTAGAACATCACACAAACTAAATAATCAAATAAAACACGCACCAATGCCAGCTAGAGGGTCATCAGGTGCTCTTTTCTTGAATGCTAAAGACCGCCTTGCATGAGAGTTAGAGGCAGAGGAGTGTCGTGCATCGACTTGGGGAAGGACAAGGGAGGAAAGTGCAGTTGCGAGGATAAAATAGATAACGGAATACATAGAGATGATAAAATACTGCTGGATAGCAAGGACAGCGCGACTTTGGGTCCGCTAGCGATAGAACGAGTGTGCGTTTCTGCTCTCAAAGAGAGTAGAAAGTAGGTTCTAAGATATTTTCAAAGACGAAGATTCTTGATTCCTGGAAGCCAGTTGGCCGATATTTGACAAGACGTCGCCGGCAGCGTCGCAGGAGGAGCAAAATTTGAGAGACCCGGAAATCTTAAACGAGGGGATGAACAAGACAGAAACAATCTAGCGCGGCGGGCGTAGGTTTCGTACCAAATCGCGATCACACGGTAACACCAACAAATGATCTCGGTTACAGAACCGTTTTTAGGGCACGGCAGTCAGCGCTAGTCAGCTCTAGCACTGGAAACTTCACAGATTTTGTAACTATGCGACCTCAAATATCATCACAACTAGGGGTAGGAACGTAGATTCATCATGCATTACAATATAGGCATACGACGGAATGGTAGAAAATGCAACAGACTTAGATGAATCCGATCTATAGAGTATCATTAATAACAGTATCAACCGACGGCACGTTGGCAGTGAATCACCTTGTTTGCAACATCCAAAGCGTCATGGTCGGATGTAAGCCTAACGTATGCCTTCTTCTTTCCATCAGGTCTAAGAACGATCAGGTTATTGTGATAATCTTAAAGCTCATTGCACGGAGACAAACCGAATCAGGGTGTTGATTTTGGCAGCCTGAACGTCGTAAAGTTTCTTCACAGCGTCCTTGATTTGTCGCTTATTCGACTTTATGTCAACAATAAAGACGAGCGTGTTGTGCTCCTCAATCTTCTTCATCGCCGACTCCGTGTTCAGTGGACTGTCATTGATTTTTTGAACCGTCAAAATTTAGTTTGTATTGCATGGCATAAAACGCACGAGACGATGGTACGGAACTGGTCCATTCGTGGTGCATGGGGAATGGATTTGCGGGGGTATTTGGGGTTCCTGCGCAGGCGGAGTGTCTTGGGACGATGGAAGGTTACAGAGTATCGCTGCTTCCGTGCTGAATGCGAGTGCACGCCCTGAAGAGCGGCCTTTTTGGCGGCCTTGGCCTTGACGTTTGTAGGGGCCATCTTGATGAAGTTGTTCTGCCCGTCGTCAATAACACTAGGAGGCCGATGATCAGGTCAATCGCCAATCCCCGAACCACTATACAGTTGCAATCGGGAAATGCCGGTTCTCGCCTGTCATATTATATAACAATAATCACGTGTGTGATCACGTCAGGTGATACGTGACAAGGAATTGTTGCACGTGTCACGCGCGCCTTGACTGATACGTTGGTGTCTGCACGCGTCTGCTGGTTATTACTACAGCACGCGCCAGCCTTGGCCTACAATGTATATCAAGACCCTGACAATTCAGGGATTCAAGTCTTGTAAGTTTGACTATCCTTCATCCAGTGATATTCCACTTAACACACTCTAGACCGTGATCAGACACAGATAGAGCCCTTCTCTCCTCGCCATAATGTTGTCGTAGGTCGAAATGGTTCAGGGAAGAGCAACTTCTTTGCAGGTGCCTATGTTCTCCCCTCGACTATGTATCCCAATCTCACTCCTACACCCGCTAGCAATTCGCTTCGTGTTGTCCGATGCGTATACCTCCATGTCCAGGGAGGAGCGACAGGCTCTCCTGCACGAAGGTGTTTCCGTCACGACCACGTTATCTGCATACGGTGCGAGATTTCCAGCTATAATCCTCTAGCATCCTTTCTCATACTCGCAACCAGTCGAGATTGTGTTTGACAACTCTGACAATCGATTTCCAACCGGTCGCGAAGAAGTCATACTAAGACGTACCATCGGTCTCAAGAAAGATGAATACAGTCTCGACAAGAAAAGCGCTAGCAAAGCTGACGTCATGAATCTCCTCGAGAGTGCCGGCTTCTCAAAGTCCAATCCGTATTACATCGTTCCGCAAGGACGAGTACGTGCCACCTGGTTCTCCCATACTTTCCTAACAGAATCTTTCAGATCACCGCCCTTACAAATGCGAAAGATCACGAGCGCCTTGCCCTCTTGAAAGAAGTTGCTGGCACCAAAGTCTACGAACAGCGTCGTGCCGAATCTCTCCGTATCATGGCTGAGACAGACGCCAAACGCACAAAGATCAACGAACTTATCGACTACATCGATTCTCGTCTCACGGAGCTAGAGGAGGAGAAGGAAGAGTTGCGCGAGTTTCAGGACAAGGACAAAGAACGCCGATGTCTCGAGTATGCATTGTATCAGAGGGAGTTGGAGGAGGTTGGAGAGGCTTTGGAGGAAATAGACGAAGAGAGGCGAGGAGAGGTGCATGGTGCCAACATGAGAAGAGAGCAGTTTGATACCAGGGAAAAGGAGATACAGGTCCGTCCAACTCCTTTTCTCGTTCATTCTACCCTTGACGCATTCACAGCGCCTAGAGCAACAAATCTCGCAAGCGAAACATTCGCTCCAATCTCTCCAGATATCACGGAAAGACGCACACTCCGAGTTGAATGAATTCATCCGAGCACGTACAGAACTCGAGTGCATTGTTGCTGATCTCCGTGTAACAGGCGAGAGAGACGATAGCGCACTCAAAAAAGAGCTTGCGTCCGTGCAGCAAGCGACGCAGGGCAAGGAGCGCGAACTTCGTGAATTGATTCCACAGTGGGAAAAAGCCCGCACAAAAGAAAGTGCAGAAAAGCGCAAGATGGAGGAGGCTCGTACTCAGCTTAGCGCGCTCTTTGCCAAGCAAGGCCGTGTCAACCGCTTCCGGACAAAGGCGGAGCGCGACGCATACCTCAAGCAGGAGATCGCGAGTATGGAGGCATATCAACGGACTCGCTCCGCAGCACTCGATTCTACTCGGAAAGACGCCACACAGAAAAAGCAGAATGTCGCCGAGACGGAGCGGAGGGTTGACAGCATCCAGGGGAGTTTGGAAGATGGGAGAACGCGCGTGAAAGACATTGGGGAGCAGCTTGTAGCACTCAAGGAGAAGCAGACCGAACTTACTGAGCGCAGGAAGGAGTTGTGGCGCGAGGACACCAAGCTGGATGGATTACTTGCGCATGCTAGTGATGAGTTGCGGGCCGCTGAGCGTAGTCTTGCGGGCATGATGGACAAAGTGAGTATATGCGTGCCCCAATCGATAATTCCTCATCTACTCTCATAGGACACTGGCTCTGGTCTCCGCGCTGTTGACAGAATTGCAGAGCGACATAACTTGGAGGGTGTGTATGGCCCATTGTATCGTCTTTTCGAGATACCAGACTCGACGTTTAGTACTGCTATCGAACTTACCGCTGGAAACAGGTACAACGCTCCGTTCACGTCAGTCTTTATTTACGCTCATACCTCACAGTCTCTTTCACGTTGTCGTCGATACCGATGCAACTGCACAGAAGGTCCTCGACATCATGCTACGAGAAAAAAATGGCCGTGTGACATTCATGCCTCTCAACCGCCTCAAACCCAAGCAACCCACTATTCCTCCAAATCAAGATGCTCTTCCTCTCCTCGAGAAGCTCTCGTACGATTCTGCGCATACCAAGGCATTCCAGCAGGTGTTTGGCAAGACTTGGGTATGCCGCGACCTTACCGTTGCTGCTGCGTACGTCAAGAGCCACGGTGTCAATACCATCACGCTGGACGGTGATAAGGTCGATCGTAAGGGTGCTCTTACAGGCGGTTACCACGACGTACGCCGTTCGCGTATCGAGGCTATCAAGAATGTAGCAACATGGCGCTCCAAATTTGACGCGGAAGACAAGCGTGCCAAAGAGGTTAAAGCTGCCATCACCACGCTCGAGCAGGAGATCACAAAGGTAACAGGGAAGATCCAAGTGCTTAGCGTCCAGCAGGCGCAGGCAAAGGAAGCCCGTGAGGTGCTCCTTTCGGACTCAGTATCACTCTCAAGGGAGCGCGAGAGATTGAGTGAGGGCATTGTAGCTCTGCAAAATGAGGCGGACGAATTGGAGACGGAGCTTAGCGGCATTGTGCAGAGGCTGCAGGGGTACCGCACCGAGCTTGCGAGCCCCCTCACACGGGCACTGACAGATGATGAAGCTAATCTGATTGATACTCTTGGTCAACAAGTGGACGAGAGGCGCAAGCGAGTGCTCGAGCTGAGCAAATCGAGAACAGAAGTAGGTGTACTGATAGGACGCATCCTGAAACACAATACTTACACCACACATAGCTTGATAGCCGCAAAAACCTCTTGGAAATCGAGCTCAATGAAAGCCTGCGGAGAAAGGAAAAAGAGCTGCAGGTAACATTGCAGTCCTTGGGTGACTCGAACAATGGAGAGGCGTCATCCGCTGATAATCTGGATGCGCGGTTGCGTGAACTCAAATCCCTCGATGCTTCTATAGCCACTTCGACGAAACGTGCACAAGGTTGGCTCCTGTTCTTTTGTGTCCGCCGTAAAATCAAATGTATTTCCACAGAAGCAGAAAAAGATTTTGATAAATTGACGGCCGACCTACAGGAACTTCGATCCAACTTGGAGAAGGCCCAGAATCAACAATCGGAGGACAGTCGCAGTGTCACGAAGCTGCAAAAGAACACCGAGCGATACCTGGCTAAGAAACAGATGCTTGTTGGTCGTAAGGAGGAGTGCAACCGCAATATCCGAGACCTAGGTGTACTCCCAGAGGAAGCTTTTGATAAATATACGAACGAAAAGCTTGATCGAGTATGTTTTTATCAGCTGCTCGTCTCCAAACTTTGTGTGCTAACGATCTCACCACTTAGCTGGTGAAGAAACTGCACGCCGTCAACGAAGGGCTGAAGAAGTTCGCGCATGTTAACAAAAAGGCTTTCGAACAGTATAATTCTTTCACAAAACAGCGAGACCAGCTCTTACAGCGCAGGGAAGATCTAGACAAGTCAGCCACATCGATCGAGGAGCTGGTACAAGTACTGGACCAGCGAAAAGATGAAGCCATCGAGCGAACATTTAAACAAGTCGCCAGCAACTTTGAAGAGGTCTTTGACAAACTAGTTCCTGCTGGTCGTGGGCGTTTGATCATCCAACGTCGGATAGACCAGGTAAACAGGCTGATTAAGCGTGTAATACCTTTGCTCAATCTGCAACAGGACGAAGATGACGCAATGGACGAAGGAGATGATACACAACAAAGTAGCATCGACAATTATACTGGTATATCGATAAAGGTAATCGCTTTGTAGCAGTTCTACTGTTTTACTTATTGTGTGATAGGTTTCCTTCAACTCCAAGGTCGATGAAGGACTTCGGATACAACAGCTATCAGGAGGTCAAAAATCCCTGGTCGCACTTGCGACAGGTAATTGTATTTCTGTTAGAGATAACGATGTTTTTGAGCTTTTTCGCCAGTTTTCGCCATCCAGAAATGTGATCCAGCTCCTTTCTACTTATTCGACGAGGTCCGTTGAAATAATCTTACGGGATATGCCTTTGAGTCATGTTTCATGTAGATCGACGCAAATCTGGACGCGCAATATCGAACTGCTGTCGCGAGTAGGTCCCTGTGTCACACCACAAACCCGGGCTAATTTATTTTCAGACATGATCAAATCTCTTTCGCATTCTGCTCAATTCATTACGACTACCTTCAGGCCAGAAATGTTGGTTACTGCGGACAAGTTCTATGGCGTGCTCTTCAACAACCAAAAAGTCAGTTCTATCAGGAGCATCAAACGAGAGGAGGCCATGGAGTTCGTGGACCAGGTCGGTCTTTAATAATTTACCTTTTGAGCCTGGATCGTAACCAGTATTTTCATTCAGGAGGCTCAAGCTCAATAATTAATGATTCACAAGACATCAAACCAAGTTTACTTTTATCATACGCTGTCCGTATTTGCTTGTCGTATTCACTGTTATCGTTATTATCCTGTATTGTAATTTATCCATGAAGAGTTATTTTGATCTCCAATACCCGATGGAACACCCGTGTCTTGTGCAATCAATAAAGGCAACGACGTACAATTTTTGACTTGTATGGACTACTTCCATGGGTCAAACAAGACCTTCCCGCATTTCCCCTTGTCAAAATCGTCATATATCTGCGCCGCATCATCGAAACTCGCTATTTTCTCCACCAAGCTTGTTTCCCCACCCACCAATCCCAATACATCTTGCCTTTTCAGGAGCAGCTCCAGTGCCATTGGGAACATAGCACGCACTGGACACCGACCAAAGTCAAGTGACACATTCTTGTCATAAAGCTCAACGCCCTTGTATGGTACAGCATGATCGCTGTGAACTCCGACAGAATTGATACAGCCAAATGGTCGTACAAGCTCGTAAGCAAGCCGAAGTGCACTGGTGTTACCAACGACCTTGTATTGATGATTTGAGTCAATGTCCATAGGCAGGTTGCATCGAGCTCACTTCAAGAACGGCGTTGCAACCGACTCCCTTGGTCAAAGTTGTGACAATTTCTTTGACATTGCTGGTGTCTGCTACCTGAAATTCACCAAATTGTTGGGTGCCGCTGATGATTGAGTAGATTGACGCCATTTTTGTCCTCCTGGCTTCATTCGGGTCAATGGCTATCACACTGAACTTCACCTTTCGCGTGACGAGCATGTCAAGGAGAGCAATACACGCGCACTGGTAAGTGCACGGCGACCGCATCAAAACATAACGAGATGTTAGACATCGTAATGGACTCACCACCCCCACAGGGCCTAACCCTATCACCGCCATAGTCAATGATGTGTCTTCTTCCAAGAGGGGTAGAAATGAAACATCTCCCGCTTGCGACGGACTCGCACTAAGCGGATATGGTTGCCTGGTTGTAAATGGTAGAGTTTTGGCGTGACTGAGTGCCTGGAATGCAGCAAACACTCCGGTTGGAAGGATGTCGCACAGCAACAGCAAAGAGGAGTCAGCGAGCAAAGACCCGTCAGGAATTTCCTGCAGACTGTACAAGGTACCTCCGGCCCTGCGAACGCGAACATATTGAGCTTGTCCCCCTGGAGTCATAGGAGTGCCAAATAAACGAGACTCGATGCAACGGCACGTGAATCCCACTCTGCAAAAACTGTAACACATGAGAATACTGGTTGAAGTCGGTGAAACGAAACTGACGCACTGGCACTCCCCACAAGAGACTGTGAACGGCGAGACAACCTTATCGCCGACACGAAGCGTGGAGTACAAGTGCGGCCGGCCGGTAGAATTAGAATGAAAACTTGCACCGAGTGCAACAACTTCGCCGATGAATTCGTGACCCATGATGCAGCTGGAACGTGCATCTTTTGAGTTCATAAGACACTCTGGGTAATAACTGGATTCATTTACGGCTCTGTGAGTCTCGCTGTTCCACGGTACATGTGTAGATCGCTACCACATAGCCCAGCAAGCTATGAGGTACGTCAAGATTCAAGAACATATCAAAGATATCTGCTGCACATCTGCGAACCTTAATCTTTACTATCGCATCATCAGGGTGTTCAATCCTTGGAACAAAATACAAGTCAGTGAGATCTAATGATGCAACAAACGAAGGATAAACATACTCAGGAATGGGAAGTGTTTCGACACGAATGTCATAAGAAGGTGGATGCCACCGCACAGCGCGTTGTGAACTCAAATCGTTTGCCATAGAAGTCATGGGAGGGGGCCTATTATGGATTCCTTTGCGACTCAAGACTGCTAGTTTGCGGGAGATCCTCGAAGCTACCTCTTAGTAGGGGCTGTAGTGAATATGCACCGTGACGAAGGCCCTATTAGTATGTGGCATTCGTGGATTTGCCACGGTACAGTCGGACTCCCGTAAGTAATACGCTGTAAATAACAGAACCCATTTGCAACAGGCGTCGGTCCACGGTCCCGGTCAGCAGGTGCATAGATGATGACGATTCGGAACCAGACAAGTCACGTAAACGAAGAGAACCAGCAATGTTTGTAGCCCAGTTTTAGTCAAAACTGATCAGCTGCCTCAAGAGCCTGCCAGGATGGGGAATACAGGTGAGAATTCGAACATGTATCCAGTCACCGGGTCACTCGTTGTTAAGCCTGCTGGGACCTAGACTCAATGATGACCAGTCTGACGTACAGCTATGACTTGTCCATGGTAGTATAAGCTAGGCTGGTCTCGAGCCGAACTGGAACCTACAAATATGAGCATCATAGATGCACAACCCAGTTGAACAGTCAATGGTTTTATAAGAGATGACTGAAATTTTGAACGAATGCATGTGAGGGTTCTTGCGATGTTTAGCAAGTTGCATACTAACTCTTATTACGTTCCTGACGCACAGTCAAGCAGAGCCGTAATCCCCTATCTACAACATTCTGATGTAGCATTTCAAAACGAAATATAAGGAGCACAAGACGTACGTGCAAATCAAGATTAAGTGATTTTCACTCTGTCTGGGCATGAATGTTTGTAGCTATCGATAGGAAACGCTTGATGACCGACTTTCCCCTGCATAAATTATTCAGAGAAATGCGCTCATTAGGCAAATGTGCTTGATCCTTGATTGCTGATCATCAGTTTCAAGGGAGAAAAGGTCAAGGCTAGACGCACGGTGCTTTGTCCAAGTGGGAGGTGAAGTGCAGGGCAGCCGAATTCCTTTTCTAGATAAGGAATCGATGGGATAGACTTCATAAACAGTGAGAAAGGGGAAACCTGATCTATGCAGATCACTCACGCCACCCTCTCGGATGAGTAATGGTTCTACACTCCACTCGTCGCGCACAGCAGTCTTGAGTGCTTTGAACCAGGGGCCATCCAAATTGCCGAGCCACCAATCAGCTGTGCGGTCAATGCTAACCTACGAGATACTGTGAGCTGCGGGATGATCAAGCATGAACTACGCACAGAAAGCTGATTGGGTGATTGGAAATTGTCGAAGGACCCTTTGAGGTGATCAACTAAAGACTGAGCGATGGTTTCCAACTCCTGGTCTGGAACAATGCGGAGGGACACTTTCGCAGTGACCTTGCCCGGGATCACAGTCGAGTCTTGAAATAATGAGCAACGTTCAGGTGTGAGTGGAACGTGCGACTTACTCCCAGGTCCAGACACATCTATGTTGTGTACAGTCAAGGACGGCTCACTCCATCGCGAAGATAGCACAGAGCCAGGTTTTTGGGTTACATTGGACAAAACGTCGTACAATTGCTTTTCGGCCTCAGTCTGAGAGCGAACACGGTTGTCTATAGATGCCGCATCAGCCTGCTCAAGAAAAATCGATGTGCACTGGATGTGAACGAACAAAAACCCGGTATGGCCACCTTTCCTTCACCACCCATCAGAGTTGCAAGAAGGCGAATCCTGAGTTGAACGTGAGTCCGGATCTGGCCATTGGGGGTCGTGGACGTACATATCAAACATCGGCTCAGGGGCAGCACCTCCTTCAACACCAGAGTGCAAGTCCGGCACACCACTCGCTATCTATAACACACATCAGTTTGAAGTCGCGTGATAGCGAAAATTAGTACCTCCACTGTTGAGTGTACGACACCGCGGAGACCATACGTAATACAAGGATGATACTCAGAAATCCAGGTCGAGTTACTGGCCGCAGATGAACAAAGGAAAAACAGATGGGTCGGCAACAACCTACCTGAGTAAGATGGCATCTATGTTCCCGATCAGGTGCTGAAAAAGAACGGAAATGAACGTAGGCACGCGAGTGTAACATGACGGGATCCCACTTTGTGTTCTTTGATTGCATCAACAAATCCAGCACTCCCAGTCTCCTCCTCACCCTCAATAAGGAAGACAAGATCAACACCAAGAGCGCGGTTTTGGAGAAGTTCTGCAGCAGCGCAAGCTACAGCCATGATGGGACCTTTATCATCCGTCACCCCTCGTCCATAAAGATAACCGTTACGACCCGACACAATGAAGGGATCAGTGCCCCACCCTTCCGGAGGAGCTGAAATAACATCGTAGTGCCTGTTGTTGAAGTTATGAGGGGAGATAAGTCCTGTGAAACAGTGGTAGTACCCGTAAAATAGTATTCTTGGTTTTGGATGTTTCCCTTGCGTTCCATGAAAAGTCCCTAGAACAAGGGGACTTCCGGCTTCATGAGTAGGCAGCTAAGGTGTTGTACGTGAGCAAAAGAGAGGGGACTAATCGAGCATTTTCACCAGAGCCGACTGAGCACCTAGCTGGTTCAAGCATTTCTTCAGCCAAATTGCGGCTTGACGACAATCCTCTCTATGGCTCGGGTCACTGCTTACACTTGGAATTGACACGAACTTGGAGAGTGCATAAGTCATTGTATCTCCTACCAAATTAAGTATTTGCGGGGCGTAGATGAAAACATGACATGCCTTGGGTGGCATCCGAATCAGATATCGGCGTGCTGACCTCGCGCAACTGGGAAAGATTGTCTTCGGCTTTTGGAACAATTGCCCAAACCTGTAGGTTTTCAGGTAAGTTATCACAAGCTATTAGCAAACACCACGACACCTTCACGAAACCATCGTTAGCCCCGGTAACAAGACAAAACGACTTGCGGTCGGAAGAACAGGAGACAACGGAGGAGAGCACGATACCGTCATGAGCTCGCCACGACGCTGTGCAATCAAATGAAGACGACCATCTCTGAGAAATACAAAAATGGTTCAGGGTGGCGACGAAAAAAAGGGATCTTGCACGCCTACGTGAATGTGACCATTGGCAGAGCATGTGTAGAGATCAGACTGCATGATTGATAGCGAAAGGACGTCGACATTCTGGTATACAAATATGAGATCCTTGCACAAAATCGTACGTTGATGCGCCTACTTCTTGAACGATGATCGATCTAACAAGCGTCCGCGTTTCGAAGTCAAGCACCTTCACGTGCCCATCTTGGCATCCAGCGTAGATCGTCTCCCCGGAAGTGACGAGCGAAAGTACAGCGCCATGCTGACAATCGAAAGAGTGCATCATGCTGAGACCAGATGGGTCACAACGCCAAATCTGTCAGCGGTACAGAGTGAGCTGACCCATCCCTTGACTTGAGATGAGACAAACCTTGACGGTTTCATCCCCGCTTCCAGTGATGAGATAATAGTTCCGAACCTGCTTTTGCGCAGGATTCCCTGTGCCTTCCCTTGTTGAAGGTAAAAGAGCCATGCAATATATATAGCCGAAATGAGCAGAGTCGATGACATTTGTTGCTGGGATGTTTATCAAAGAATTGGTTCCAACGAATGCACCCTGACTGGTTGAGGGAGACAAGCTGAAGTTGTTGGCTTGAAGATCCGCAGGGCGATGTGTGTATTGCGGATAACTATCGAAGAATTTGTGAACTTTACGAGTTGGAGTTGATGTGCCTGAGCCGGATTGCTCCTCTGTGCGCCGGTCAAGCTGCAACTTGGAGAACCCTTGCCATTGAAGTGAAGTATTCTGACAACCAATGTAGACGACCTGTATCGCTGGGTTCCAGGCGAGGGAAAACAGATCACCTGCTCCCGTTTCAAGATATGGATTCAGGATGTAGATTGGTTGAAATGTCACTGTAGACCAAACCTGACTTCCATCAGTATAAGCATCTATCAAAGGAGATAGACATACTCTGATAGTGCTATCACCTAGCCAGGGTGCTAAGAAGACGGCAAACAATAGTACGAGAAGACCTACCTGAAGCGCTAAAAAGCCAGCCTTTCTCCTCCGCAAGCTCAAGGGCCAGGATGCTTCCAGTATGACCACGAAGGGAAGTCTTGAGTGTAAATGTGTGTTTGTCCCAGACCTTGAACAGCAGAGCCTTGAGAATATAAACATTACCGATAAATTCTAACACACACCGCGATATCTTGACCTTGTCCACCGGTAAAGATATGGTCTGCGTTTGCCATTAAACTAAGGACAGATCTGTGTTCATCTCCAAGGGAGTGTAGCAAGCGAGGAGACGGTGCAGCTGAGGGGATGGGACGGCTAACGGATGCTTTTCCATGGCATAGAATGTCAGGTCGACTAGAGAGGGACATGATGGGGTAAACGTACGATGGGGAATAACTGCGCTGGACAGCGATTCATCTACCATTATGAGACAGGTGCCGCCGGTTAAGCGGCAACTGCTCAACTTTCAATCCAAGAAGCGAAATGGGCGTAATGGAAGCTGGTGGGCACATGTTCAGACTGAAAGGCATAACCCTTACGATAATAACGATAATAAGTACATACCTTAAGGACCCTTAACACGCCTTCGATACTAGATAAATAGTAAATACTGATCGTGTGCAAGGACGCGACGAAGGGAGACGATCACTTTACACTCAATGATTTTACCATTTATGTACTTTTGCTAGTTACGGTTTTTGTCCAACCACTGCCAGCAGCACCACTCTATGGCATCAGATAGAGCGAAAATAGCGAAAGATCAGGTAAGTTGTCGTCAGCAAAGGGGAGCTCAGGCGTCATCTTCTCATTTTGCAGGGCAATGCAGCTTTCAAGTCGGGTGATTACCCAGCTGCAGTCGGCCACTATACATCCGCAATCCTGGCGGATACCGATGACCCGACATTTCCTCTAAACCGCGCAGCAGCGTACTTGAAACTAGGCAAGTACGTTTATTCTGTTATCTATCCTTGATGTCTGCAACCGGGTAACTAACTTCCGTGTTCTTAGGAACGAGGATGCAGAACGAGATTGCACCACCGTTTTGAAGCTGAGCCCTGGCAATGTGAAAGCTCTATTTCGTAGAGGTCAGGCTCGAACGGGTCTGGGTCACTTAGATATGGCCCTTACAGGGGAGTAAAATATCATCCGTGCTGAATCGATTTCAATATCCATCTTATAGATTTCGTCGCGGCATCCGAACGGGAGCCCTCTAATCAATCTGTGAAGGAGGAACTTTTACAAGTTGATAGACTAATTCAAGATCAGAAGCAGAAGCATGACAGTGCAGTGGGTACTGCAAACATTATAAGTCATGATTGTTGAAGCAACCTTTGACCTACAGACCACTTCTCGTCCAAGAACTATACCAGCTACTCCAGCGACAAGGCGGAAGCGCATTCCAATAGAGATCGTTGAGAACCGTTCTAAAGCGTCGCATCATCGTCGTGAAGAGCTAGCAGCAGAAGATGCTAAAAAGCAGCCTCAAGATCTTGGGGACAGTGGGCTTCTGCAGCCAATTTCTTCCCGGGTGTTACTTCGGAGTGACGAACCTAGTTCATCCAGCATCAAACCAGAACCGAGCACTATGTCACCTCTACCGAAGCAAACGACTTCAACGAGAACGGAAAGTTTCAAAGACGCAAAGCAGTTACGAGATGCTGCAAAGGCCTCACGCGTTGGTGGGGGGATATTCCGACCATCTGGCAACCATACGTTGTTTGCTAGAGACGACGAAATGTCTGGCGCGGCTACAGCGATAATCTCGCCTCCACCCACGGTTGATGACACTGTCCCAAAAGCTCCTATGACTCTCTTTAACTTCACAAAGATGTGGGAGTCGCACATGAAAGACGAAGATCGTTGGAACATCATTTCTGTATGTGATTCAACGCTCTTCTTGCCACATTTCTAAACTGCTTTATTCAGGGAATACCACCAATGTCGCTTCCCAAGATGTTCCAGGCGTCACTTGAGCCAATTTTACTCTCATCGATACTTCAGCATTTTGAACGAGTCATAGATCAACAAATCGCAGCTCCGGGTGATGTGCGTCAATATCTGGTATCTTTATCAAAAGTCCAGCGGTTCGGCACGATCATGCTATTCATGAACAAGGACGAGAAAATGCTTCTAAAGGAGCTTTGGGAGACATGTGGAAAGCTAGACAGCACCTGACCGTAACGTAATATGGATACTAGTAGGATGCACTACTATTGGGACATGAGTTTGTGATAGCTCCATATCAGTAGTTAATAAACTACTTAAGACTGGGCCCAGCTGCAGGTACCTGATCGTATGTGCGAATCCTTGAAGTTGTAGTAGCTGCAGTCTATAAGCTATCATATTGCGGCACTAGCCTTAACCATCGTCACTCCGCGACTACTAGTCGGTCATCGACCGACGACCTTCTTCAATCAGCCCTTCTTCGACTATCACAATATGCCAGATGCGCCTCATAGTAGCCCTGAGGCAGCTATAATACCAATACCCGTGAGCGACAATCGAGGACAATCACTTGAGGCGTTCAAGTCAAAGCTCCGTGACGCAGGATTGTACCAGCCTCCCTCCGATGATACGCCTGCATCTCATGATGACTCAACTCTACTGTACGTTCCACTATACACTGTGTCATCTAGTTCGACCCAGGCTTACGGTGTTTCAGGCGTTTCCTACGAGCCCGGCAGTACGACGTAGACAAAGCACAAAAGCAGTTCTCCGACACAGAAGCCTGGCGCAAACAACATAACGTTGACGAGCTGTTTCGTACTTTTGAGACTAATGAGATGGAATCAGCCAGGATATTCTACCCTCGATGGACAGGTCGTCGTGATAAGGTCAGATGAAATTTATTTCGGTCACCGTATCAGCAATCCGATGGCGATGTTTTGGTCCACAGACTGGCCTGCCGGTCTATGTATACCGCCTTGCTTCCTTAGATGCGCCGTTGCGGAAGGAACTTGAGTCTGCGCCTTCGGAGCGTCGATACCAGCGAATGTCAGTACGCATTTGAATTGCAGCACATCGTTAGCTGAAGCGACAGCTTGCATAGTGTTGTGCTCCATGAGGCGATGACGCGCTTTGTGCTGCCGCTGTGCTCCCATCTTTCTGCACCAACACCAATATCATCAGTGACTACTATAATCGATTTGGAGCAGGTATCCTTGTCTGCAATGTGGTCTCTACGAAGCCATCTGCAGGTGGCTTCTGCGATGGCTACGGCGAATTATCCAGAGACCCTCAATACAATCGCCATCGTCAACTCGCCATCTTTCTTTCCCACAATATGGAATTGGATCAAGGTCTTTCCATCCACAAATATTCATGTTGGTATACTTATAATGCCGACCTTCCCTCAGACCTGGTTCGACGAAGGTACTCGGAACAAAATTCATATCTTGAGCAAAAATCCAGGTCCTACGTTGAGATCGCTAATCGATGAGAAGGATATTCCACAGTCTTATGGTGGACAGCTGCCATGGAAATTTGAAGATGACCCAAACCTAGATGACGCAATCAAAGAAGTTATTGGTGAGATGCCTAAGGGTCCTATACTCTTTGTAGACGGCTCCATGGTAAAACCCTGAGGTCAGTTCTTCACGAGAATGATACCAATTAATTAAAGGTGGTCTTGTGACGACGTTGTATGTTACATTACAAGTGGGAATGTGTACGATGATATGTAGAATAAGTCGATAGCGAGTAGAAAAAAATCTGAGCAGCTATACATCGTCATCTTCAGGTTCTGCAGTGACACCATCCTCATTCCAAATTTCAATAAACTAGACAACTATGTCAGCCTTACGATGGGGGGAGTGGAGAAATACTCACTGCCAGCCTGTGAGCAGTCGAGTCGTGCTCCTGGACGAGAGAAATAGTGGCATAAGGGAGGCGGGTCCATGCAATCGGAAGTTGGTGACGTTTGATAGCAGGTTTGTCACCGATAGCGCTTTTCTTGCCGAGCGCGAATTTAGAGCATTTCCTGAGAGGAAAGAAAGGTTAGCAGGATGAATTGATTTCCACGCAAAAGACCCACTCTTCTGAAAGCCCGTAAAGAGATTTAAGATGGGCTTTAAGAAGCATGACAATCCCAATGGTTATCGAGCTTCTCATGACAGCAACGTCGATGTGGGGCATGTCAGGAGGGGCAGAGGAAGATGGAGGATTTGGTATTTCCTGATCAATCGAAGGCGTAGGAAAGCCTGATAATGGTAACTGATGAGATTCATTATGGAAGGGTGGAGTATCGTGCAGCTGCGCTAGGAGGTGAGAAGGCGAGAGAAGGTCGATCACTTGCATGCCAGCGGTTGATAAGACGGACGTCAAGTGTTTAACAACAGTGATGACCTCCTCTTGTGTTCTGTAGTCAAGAGAAGCAAAATTCTCCGCCATGTACCTTGCGAAGTCAACATCATCCTGGTGTCCCGTGAGCCTCATCAAGCAATATGAGGCAGTACATTACCTGTGATGATTTCAAAGAAGGGTTGACATCAAAAGATTTCAGCAGAGCCCTCAGGAAGTCTTGACGAGATCCTCTTTTCTCCCGCACAAGAGAATACCACCTCTGAAGCAGTGCCGTTGGTTCCGGTTGCGTTCGATAGCCTACATTAAAGTTCAGAACATGTCCTAGAAATTTAAATTGCCAAACCTTTGACGGCGTCCACGGAGATTTTTTTCTGGTAGTCGAACGACTGTCTTGCACTAATGATATATCGGGCATTCAACAGAGACGCGTGTTTACTCCAAAGTATTGCATGGAGCGCATTGGCCCGTGAGCTGATGGCGGCATTTGGACTAGTTTCCAATGCAACAATGACAGGGAAGGACTTCCGAAACTGGGGTCAATGAAAATCGGACGAAGACCAAAGCACGCACTTGCAGAGGATGGGCGAGACCCTGTTTGATGGTGAAGCTGAGAATGTCAACGGCAACATTCTGGATCTGAGAATTTTGAGACAGGGCCGCATCCAGAATTGAGGATATATATCGCTGAACAACGGCTGAGCTGACACTGTATCCTCATTAGCAGATCCTTGCGAAGAATTGTTTGACCTACCCGGAGTCAGCAAAACCATCTGTGTTGCCTACCAATTCTGCCATATCCACTACACCCCCTTGCTTGCCTTTGGTGCCTCCTGAAGAGGATAAGTATAGCACAAGGGCACAAAACACGGCTCTAACCTTTCTGCTCCTCATGGTGCTTCATAGATTCGGACACTAAGAAGTCGTGCATGATCCGCAAAAGTCGCCCGCGGCTTTCAAGATCAGACGAGTGAAAAATGTCATCCATGATGGAAGCGGATCGTCCCAGTGTCATTAATGTTGGTTGTGCACGGAACAAAAAGCCTTCACGGGGGTGAGTATTCTACGAACCAGAGACAGTGATGAGGCTTACCAAGACACTGGAGGATGCGTCCCTTCAGACCAACGTCGTTGTACTTCTCGTATAATTCCAGCAAGCTCTTGTAAATGTGTTCCACGATGGGTCCCTGGAAGAAATGGATATGAGTTTGAAAAGTCAGATTACAAAATTAAAGGACGGTACGGGAGACACAGAGTTCAAATCTGAAAGGAAGTCTTAAATCAATGTCAAACTACTGAAGTCACGGACATTTGCGACAGCTTTACCTGGATGGTCATCGCGGAGGCGGTCGAAATCGCAGTGTTCACCGAGCAAAGCGACAATAAAAATGAGAATGGACAATGTCCTGTTTTCAACTGCTGTCATTTGGTAAGAGGCCGGGCGAGCGATGGCCTGCTGCAATCGAGCTAGAGCATTATATGAGCATAGATCTACCCAAGAACAAAGTCCTCATACCATTGCAAGACTTTACTAGAGCGACCAGACGATTAAAATCGTGTGTTAGATGCTGCACCGCTCCGCACATGCAAGCTACACTTTCTTGCAGACTCTATAGTACGACTGGGTAAATAAATAGCAGCAATCATCAAACAACTAACTTACCACGACTCCCCCGATGTGGGATGGTTTAACGATCATCGGCTGCAATACAAGTTGTAGTTCCTGACCAAACTTTACTGCAGTCTTGGGCATGTGAGGTATTGATAAACGGAAAATCTTTAGCAAATAATCGGAAACAACAAGCTCTTCGGACTGATGCATATTTAGATTTGATTGTGTTTACGATGGTGGATTCTTACCGAAGAGGGGTTCTTGAGATACGGGAGCAAAGTAGACGCGTTTGCTCCTGAGAGGACAGAGGGGTGTGCCGTAGTGAAGAGATATATAGTCCTGACACAATTGTGCACGGTCTGCCAATAGAATATGTCAACAAATATCAGTACAATAAGGCACCTGCACTTACGAATCCCGGCAAGTCCGAGGCGTCTACCAGACCATCAATAAGGACTTCACAAATTTCAGAGTAATTTCCTCGCAAATACGATGCGCTAGCAGCTTCTTGGTTCGACATTACTTTATGTAACATATCCTCCAGGGGTGATTGCCGATCCTTAAAGTTGGCTGATACGCCCATGATAACCGAGACCTTGGAGAGAAGTGGCCCCTTGTCTTGGCCAGGACCAGATGGCGGCACTGACCGGGTTTTAGGGACTCCACTCTGTGATGCAGCCTGGAACCATAATTCCTCAACCGTCTTGATGGCCAAATCCTTCACTGTATCATCCTCATCTAGCATGCGAAGGACTAACTTTGTCGCGATATCTATGCGTCGACAAAGATCCTCTGTGCCAGCGTAACATTGCTTGAGGAGTTTGATCACACGTTTCCGAACCCCAAGTCCCGTATCCTGAAAGAGTCAGTTAAATGAGCCTCCACCAATGAAATGCTCTTACTGCGATACGGTCGGCAATTTTCGCGTAATAGTCCCCGACAACCTCTGGCGACTCTATCATGTACTTCCCAATTAGTTCTACAGCGGCATCACGCACAGCTGGGGAACTATCGAGCAAATGACTTTCGATCGCCCGACGGACATTTGGCTTGTGGTTTGTTAGTAAGTGCTGATTCAATGAACCGCTTACGTACCGCTGCTAGGATGCTGGAGTCACTATTCACAATTTGCCCGAGTGCTCGCAATGCTTTTGTGCGCATGAAAACAGCAGGCGCATCAAGTGCAAGCAGGACAACATTTAGAATTGGCCCGAAGGAATTTCTTAGTGTCTGGATAGTCCCAATTTCTTCAGCGTAACGATCAACCCTATTTGCTTCCTCCTGTGAGCTGCCAGAGCATGTTAACTCGAGCGATTCGGAGGCAAGGTAGAATATAAGCTTACCCGACATCAAAAACATCATTTGACACATCCTTCCAAACCTCCCTGAGGGCGGACTTCAGCTTGGCGTAAAGCTTGGACTGCGGACCCATGCCCTCTTCCTGTGCTGAAGCGCCAAGTTGCTTGAGAGCGACTGCTAATTCTTGACCCCAAGTAGCTGCCGTCAGATCATTGGCACTCTTTTGCATGTCAGCAGTAATGCAACTGTGGGAATGAGGTCACTCACGTCATACGCCTGGTCTTCAGAAGCTCTTTTATAAAGATGGGAAAATATTGACTGGTGTCGAGATATGAGTATGTCCAAGTGATTGACATCGCCGGAAGAGATAACCTGCAAGGTTTGAGGAAATGGTTGCTGATAAGACTTGGATCAAATACAGACCTCATCAAGAGAGTGGAGGCCGTGCCTGTCATTGTCGCGTACTTTTACCTTCAAAGAGCTTGAACGTATTCGTGCGGCAATGACACCTAGGTGATCGAGCGCAATACTTTTTGCAGCATTTGTGTCGGTTTGGGTGCTCGTCTTCACGTCATCTAGAGAAGACACCTGTAACAACATTTGTCCAGGGATTCACAGTCAAAGGTGAAAAAGAAAACTGACCATGAATTTACAAACAATACTGAGCAAGAGACTTGCAGCTGGCCATTCTGGCCAGTACAGGACGGTAAGAAGGTCGGAAATAAGGTTGTCAAAAATGGTTCGGTATTCAGCTTCGTTGGAATTCTTGGTCAATTTCCCCTTTCCTGATCTAGCGACACACGGTTTAATCAACACTGAAGCTAGCATCATTTTGCTCACCTTTGTGTCAGATACACAACTATCGTCTTTGCAGCATTCATCGCAGACTCGAGCCCCGTGATATAAAGCTGTATTTCCTGCAGGGACGGTTAGGAGTGAGACACGGCTAACATTATCACTAACCTCCGCGTCCAATTCGTCCATCAAAGGCTCAGCCGACCTTTCATTGGCCACGCTGTCTTGTCGACGAAGAGCTTGACGACTCTGGCGACGTCTGGCAATCTTGCGCGCCGCAACACGGACGTCATGGGCAGACGTTTGTACGAGCTGAAACAGAAGTGCAGAGACTGTTCGAATGGAACGACCATCACGTAAACTGAACATGACACGTCAATGTTGCTTGCGCTCAACATCTGCAAGTCTTCACTGACCGGAATTGCCCAGCTTTCTTATGACTGTTAGAGAGCTTGATGAGTGATGACAGAATTTCTTCTATGATCCACGATCGCTGTTCCTCATGACTAGCAAAGATCTAGGCGAACGATGAGTGGTAGTCGCAAACACAAAAGACCAGCGTACACTTCGAATGACTGAGAGTGCGTCCAACCGAAGACCTCTCATAGCGCTATTGCCAAGTGTATTCAATACAACATTATCTTTCTTGCTCTTCACATCCCCTTCGCCTGACTCCACTACAAAGAACGGCCCGATTGCGATATACACGGTCTGAATGATAATTGCATCTGACATGACAATACTTTCACCAGAAAACAACACGTTGATGCGAGGAAGTACTGCCGAAACTGCCTGGAATAGCTCGCTGAGCAATCGTCGAAGATCACCAGAATGTGTATGAGTGTTGCTGTGTATGCATTGGAGTTGTAGTGATGATGATCCACCAAGACCTGCAGCCTCGACAAATGGGTATAGAATCATCGTGAGCTGGTTCTTGACTGTACTCAGACAAGAAGTTATGAGCTCCTCGGAGTAAAGCTGTATTGCGAAGTTGACAGCGAGGATGAATTGTCAAGAGTTAGATCGATCTTAGCAAATTGACCAGAAAGGCAAACCTGTTTAGTCAGGCCTTCTCCGCTTAACAACGCAACGCAACATTCCACAGCGAGGATACTATCGCGCGCAATTTCTAGCTGCTTCGATAAGTTGTGGAGGAGTGCTTCTGTCAGCTCTTGGGGTATGTCAGCACTGTCTAACCCTAACTCGCGTGTATCTTCCTCTGGAACGTTCAGTGAAGCAGAACCTGTGACATCCCGATCTTGGTGAATCACTCTTTGCGCTTTGGGGCTCTTCTTCGGTTTCCGCGGCGATGCATTTTTATCTGCATGGGGGACGTGTGCAGAGGCACGCAAGGGATCGAGAGCTTCCCCAGCTTTGATGCTGCGCTCTAAAATTTTCAGCAGTCTCGCAAGAATAGTGTTGTCGATGTCGCCTAGCGCCTTCCTCGCTCGCGGAGTATCTATGCTATCTCGGGCAGACCGCCTTGATCGTTTTGTAGGTCGAGCCAGCTGACTGAGATGTTTCGTCAGTTTCTTGATCACATTGGGTTGCAAATGAGGGTGGGAGCAATCTGTGGTAAGTGCAGAAAAAAAGTCTTTCGGAAGCTCCGAAACGTCGATGTCCACGGCCAATGAGTCTTCAGCTTCGAAAATGTCCTCAATAAGCGCAGAGAGCTTTTCGAGTGGCGCTGAAGGGAAGATGAGCGATCGATGAAATATCAATTGAAGATGACCTACCTCGTTCATCTCTATCCCCTGTACGTCGCGCAGACAGCTTCACACTGGCTTGGATACCAAACTTGTACCGGGCATCGTCCTCGTCAGATCCTGATGCATCGAAATTATCTGGAGAGGTCGGCATAGAAGTTGGAAGAGACTGCTTCTTGGAAGGAGTCCTCCATACGCTTGGTAGAGGAGGGACCGCTACATACGCCATCACCTGACGCGGTGTAGTTCTCGACGAGGGTGTACTAGTGTGTAAGGAGTTAAACTGATTATTCAGCTCTTCCTGAGGTTCTAACGGTACAGTGTGTACGCGCTTCAGCGGAGAACCTTTGTCTTCACCAGCACATTTTCGCTTCTGAGGAGTCACGCTGTTGTCTGTGGGTGCCAGCGGGATTGGAAGGCGAGAAAGGCGAGGAGTAGAGTGCGGAGTCTGCTGTGTGGATGTAGGGGTGCTCGGGGGAACGTTAATTGGCAGGGATCGAACGGCTGGCTGTACGGTTTCATGGAAGTTGGATTGCACAGACCGAGGGGTCCTAGGCTGAGATGGAGGTTGGGTAGAAGGCTGGGTAGAATTTTGTGGCTCGTCTCCTTTGATGTCTCGTTCAGCTGGTTTCATTTCGACGTCTCGATTCTTCTGAGCAATGAAGTCGTTAAACGCTGCAATGGGCTCTTTACGCCGATAAACGGGTTCGGTGGGTGGTTTTGATTGATTAGGATACGATAGGGGATGTCCTAATGCAAAAGCAAGAGAAGATGACGTGCTTCGAATGCCAGGTGGAGGTGGGGTGGGGTATGCGGCAGGAGGGTTCATGCGCTGAATCAATGACTGAGCAAACGGAAGAGGATGATACGTTGACTGAGGCTGAGATTGTAGCCATGGAGATGCAAACTGAGAAGTAGCAAATCTATGTCTAGAGATGTTACTATTGAGTTAGCACGCCGATTACAACATTTTGACGTACGAGCCGCCTTGGGACAGTAGCCTCACAGAGTCGTCCCTTGTATTGTGCCAGTAACGCGAATCACCTGTGGGCATCGAAGTGGTTGAAAGGTAGGAGAGCTCATTAGAGAATTCTGAGAACGGGGAAGGCGCTGGAGCTGGCTGATATTGTGTACCAGAGTTATATTCGATATAGGTCCGTTGCAAGTAGGCGGGGTTAGGTGCGGACACAGATAAATGATTCATGTGTCTTGTCACTATGTGAATTGTTAAACGCGCTCGACGTGTTACAACGTGTAAAATTCTAACCGTGCGTCGAAGGCGTCGCAGAAGCCGTTGGGTACGCGGCAAACAACCTGTGAGCTTCGTGGGTCGAGTTGGGAGTATGGCCATGTGCTATAGGGTCTGGTGAGAACTGGCTGCGTGCGTCATGACCAGCTTGCTGCTGCCAATGATGGCCGTTCATGATGAACGAGCTGATTAAAAGACAGCCGCGAACAGGAGCAGTGCCTCGTGCCAAGTGGCCTTCCGGAAGACTAGCGATTTCGCGTGTGACGTGTTTTCGGTCACGGTCACAGCGCGCTGTTTTCTCATATAATGGAATTAACTAATAGCAGCTTATGTACGTCACTAGGACTTCAAGTCTTCCTCCGTTTCCTTGATCTTCCTTCCTCGATATCGGCTTCCCGCTTGCTCTTCATCCCCGCAGCTCTCATATACACCTTCTTCTTCTCCTTATCCTTTTCCGCATTCTTCGCCTCATCCTTTTCAACCTTCTTGCGATGGGTTTCCTTACGTTCTTGTTGCTTTTCGCGACGCCGTGCTACTTGATCCTTGCGCAGTGCCCGAATCTGTTGAAGTAGTGCAATTGCCTTCTTCTCCTCAGGCTCTAGTACGACGGCACGCTTTTGCATGTAGGTCTGCTTGCTTTGAGGCTTCATAAGCTTGGGTTTTGAGGCGTACGGAAGAGCAGCTTGTAGCTTCTTCGGCACTTTGAGCGTGTTGAATCGTCGGGCGAGGCGTTCTATCGGCTTGTAGGTGGAATTGACAGCCAGCGGGGTCTTCAGTCCTTCATCTCGTCTGATTTGACCTGTTAAGCGCATGCCAGACCAGCGCGACTTGTCGGATAGAAGGAGGGATGTGACAGGGTTGTAGAATCTGCGAGGCTGTATCGAATACCACGCTCTTAGGAATATGATATCTAGGTTTCACAATTTAGAGAGAGAATCCAATCCAGGTTGGAATCCACTTACCGCTCATCAGCACTTTGTCTTCAAATGTCGCACGGAAGGCACCCTCTGGCTTGTTCAGCGCTTTCTTTACCTGACCCCTGATGCCAGATACGGTTCGGATACTTGCACCCTCGAATTTCGCCACTTCCAGAGCGCTAGTAAACATGTCCCTGATGAATGCTGTATTCTTGAAAATCTTGAATGGCACGCCCGTGAGCTTCAATTTCTTAACTATTTTTGTCGACCGGTCAATATCCAGGACCACGCCAGTTGCGCTCACTCTGAATGGCACAGTCTCTCCGGAAAGCGCATTGAATGCGCAAAATCCCGTGTTCGGAAGCGCAACTGGGCCATAGAACGACGCATAGCAATGCATGTGCTCTGGTGTATATTTCAACATGCGCATCCTGATGGAATGGTCGTCGAGGGAGTATATGGGGACACTCTGAAAGCGCCTCCAGCCAAGGGAAAAGATAAGTGGATCATTCGTCTTCAATGTACGTGCGAACCAGCGGTGGCGCTTGATGCGGACTTGGAGGTATCCCATGCGCTCCTCTGCAGCTAGCAGTCCACCAACGATGATAGGGTAGCGTGGGTCGAAGTGTTCAATGAATTCGCACGGGACCGAGACAAGCTCTATGCGCACATATGTTCCAGGCCGATAACCTTCGACAAGAGCACGAGTCCCAGCGTCAATGCCCTCGAATTCAGCGGGAGCAGACTGGGCTTTCCCGGCCTCCACTTTAACGAAGTCCCCACCTTCCAGGTTTTCGTGGACGTTCGTTTCCTGGTCTGCATCACCGTCGTCATGATTCCCGGTGATGAATAGCGTCCTTAGAGAATCCAGTAGTCCCTCATCTTCCCACTCCCTCAGCGCACTAGGAGAGAGCGCCTCTTTTGTCATGTCCAAGTCGTTTTCGTTCGCAGCACCAGAACTGTTCACCCGGAAGAAGTCATCATCTATGTCGTCTGATTCGACCACAGTTGTGTCGGCACCATGAACAATCTGTTCCGGGCTGAGTGAACTGGAATAAATCATTGCAATCCAGTTGTTACGCCGTTTCCGACGGTTGAGTTCATCGAAGGCAGCGCTTGCTTTCGCAGCCAGTCCAGATTTCCACGCTGGCGCGTCGTCCTCGTCATCTTCTTCGTCCTCATCCTCAGCATCACTCAGAATGTCCTTTTCAACGCCGGCATACATGACTTCACCTGCTCTAGCATGTCCTTCATCATCAGACGACCCAAGTTCGGAATCAGAGTCAGCAAAAGCGACATCGCCTGAATCTTTCTCCTTGCTAGAAAAACCATGGGTCGAGCGCACGATCGTGCGTGCCGCGTGACGGCCTGTATTTGAAGAGCCCAGGCGAAGCTGTTCGTCCTCTTCCCCACTCCCTTGATCGCCTTGCTCGTCTTCCGGGAATGCTTCCTCTCCCTCCTCGAACTCGCTGTCACCTTCGAAAACTTCATCTTCATCCTCCTCCTCCTCCTCCTCCTCCTCCTCCTCCTCCTCATCATCATCATCATCATCATCATCATCATCGGAGTCGCTGTTTTCTCCATCGTGAGGTCGGGTATCAATAGTCAGTGGATTTGACGAAGAACCAAGAAGGCGGATGTTGCTCCGGGCCACTGTCTCTTCAAGCGTCTCATCGACGTCTTGTAGATCGATGACCATTCGCTCACCCTCGCCCTGAGGAACTACTCACAAAGAGTCAACACCAAGCAATAGTGCAAGAACAATTCTGCTCACCATCAGTGACCCCTCTTGTAAAGTTACCGGGGACATTAATCCACACAGCGTCCTTGTCGTACATAACGCCACCAACATCGCTCATGGGTGCATGTACAAGGAGTTTCTTCTTTTCGCTCAACTTTCTCCGCTTCTCGGAATCTGCGTCTGGCAAGGGACAAGGGTCGCCGAGCATTGTCACGGTTTTGATATCCATGTCCCCCACACCAGGAATGTGCACCTTGGTGCTTTGCCGCATATTCGTCCCTCGCAAGTAGCCATATAGCGTTACAGTGCGATCGCACCGGCCTTTTGAGGTTCTTATTTCCTCGCGCGGCGTCAAGTCTTCTATTCTATCCGCAAGTAGATATGGGTGAGTATTCCTGAAGATCAGAGGCCGGAACTTCATGACGCTGATGAAACGGGAAAGATTGAGGATCTCAGTGTCGGGGTAACGACCGTTGAGAACACCAGAGAGATAGAAAAGTTTTGCGCCTTGGTAAATCTCATTCCAGAATCGTCTTTTCAGTAGCTTTTTGGTAGCCCTGAGGGTGGCTTGTTTTTTAATGAGGTCAAGATGAGTGAGGATACCGATGACTTTCGGAAAACCATGAGCCTGTAGGATGTTGAGGAATTCAAAAGTTTCCTGCCATAGATCAAACACTATCAGAGGACATAATTTTTAGTAAAAACAAGCGCACCATTTCAAAGCCGTAAGAGCCGTCAATCATCAGGAGAACGAGGTCTGCAACCTTGCCGATGTCGATCATAGAATTAAGATCGCTATTACACTCGATGAATGTGAGTCTCCTCTTCTTGCCAGCGACCACAGTGATTGGACCCTTGGCCTCGGATAAAGTCTGCTTCGCGTATCTCCTGACGAGACTTTTGAGCAAAGTGGTCTTGCCTACGCCTGGAGGCCCAACGATTGCGATGATGACTGGCGGGGGTTCATCATCGGGTGTTCGGTTTACAAGAGGAACATGAAGACGAGCTTCATCGCGCTCGACGTTTCTCCGGGCCTGACGATCGGCACGTCGACCGGATTTTGGTGCAAAGGCCTGAGAGAGAGTTAACAAGGAAATGCTAGAAAGCAATTGTCACCTAGAACCTTTTCATTGAAACCTGTTTTTTGCTTTCCCTTGCCTTTCTTTTCAGCCTTTGAGCCAGACTGGGCTGGGCGGTGAGACTTATGGGCTTGTGTTTCCATCGGGTAGTACTAAAAACTATGGCAGAGCATGACAAGCTCGGAAGTTATGCTCGCTCACGTGACTGGCGCGTCGTGTTGTTTTTTTGTGTGGACCGTGTCCAATTGTCAGATTGTTCGACTGTGACTCTCTTCAATCTCATCCTTCATATAGCTTTTCATATTTTATCGCATTTCTGTCTCTGATTTCTATATAACCTGGCCGCGAAATCAATGGCGCGACGTTCGTCAACCACCTTTGAATTCTCTATTCCTGGCGACGAGCTTGAACAGTATCGTATTCAACTCGAACAGCAGATTCAAAACACCGATTTATCCCTGCATCTCTCATCTTCACAAGGGGACGACGACAGCGTTGAATATCCGAGGCACAATTCTAACCATTCACTAGGCTTTCCATCATTCGAACAACCCAGTCAGCATTTTGACTATGATGCTCCCAGTGGCTTGCATGCGTGGTCCACGCATGAAGACGAGGGTGTCAATCCTTATGTCGGTGAGACGGTCTCTACCATCGGCCATCATGCCAGCGCCGTCACAATTGGCGCGGGGCTCGGTGGGCGTGGCCAACGGCGGGAAGTCAGTCTCAGTGGTGCTGAGTATGACCCGGAACGCCCACTGCAAGACATGATTGCGGGTATGGACAGTCGCATCAGCATCTTGGAGCCTCACTCCAAGTCTCGACAGACGGTGCGATCCGTCAAATTCTTTTCTACTACATCCACTGACACACGCCGTCCAGCCCTACCCTCGTGAGCCCCTCGATGCATCAGGCGACTGCGATCTATCTCAGGTTTCGCAACCTGCGGCACTTGCAGCAAGACTCCGTTCCCCACATCTCGAACCTGAGTCAGCTGAGTCAGAAGCAGACCGCTCGCAAAACATCTCCCGCCGCAAGCTCTCTGACAATTTGCAGCGTGTCGGGTTCTCTCCCCGACGGCCGCGCAATTTGCAAAGCCGTACCATGGCGCAGCAGTCTCCCTCTCGCAGCCATTCTTATGTACATGGTGCACATGATTCCCAACATATTCCATCCTATTCCCGAAAAGCAACAACTTCGAAACCACGCAAGGCATCTCATTCCGTATCTTTTGACGTAGATGCGACACCCGTGCGGCGGCATGTATCTCAGCCACAGGTGAATGTACAACCACCCACGCCATCCGCTTCTAGCTCCAAGTTTACACGTATGGCGAGGGGCCTCGCGAAGGATGTTCATGAGGCTCAGGCCGAGGAAGCTGCATTATTTCAGAACCAATCACAGACTACTACTATCCCTCGTGCGGCGCCTGTGGGCTCTCGTCGTGTCTCTATGAAGCACCACGACACATTGAAGCAACCCCTTCACGACGTCGCCGACCACAGTGCCGTTGACGTTAATGTAGAGATCTCCCAACCAAATCGGTCATTCAGAAAAGCGAGTAGAGGACGAGTGAATCTCCCAGACCTGACTGGCCTCACAAGTGCTGTTGTGTCTCCTGCGAAGGCCAACCTTGAACGCTATGGCATCAAGACTGCTGGTTCATCGAAAGAGGTTGAATGTTAGTGTTTGATTTCTATTTATTCCAAAAAAAAAACTCAACTCCTGTACAGCCCGTCTCATAGCGTCCCTCAATGCACTTCATTCAAAGCTCGCTCATCTCGAAACAGAAAATGGCATCGCTCGCCGCCGTGTCCGGGAACTCGAGTATGAACTCCAACAGTGCAAACGTGATGTCGCTCGAGAACGCTCGAGAATCATCGAACAAGACGCAGGCGAGACATCATGGAAAAGGGGCAAAGAGGAGCGACGAGACAGAGAGGAAGAACAGTCCAAGTATTTCGAAGTTGTGGAGGAAAAGAAAGGTTTGTAATAAACCGTCTTTCCGATGAATCTCATTTGACACGCCGTATAGCGCTCGAGTCTTTGATATCAACCCTCCGCTCGCATCTTACCCGTGTCACCACAGAGTTGACAGCGCAGCAGCAACTCCTGGAGGACCTTAAGAGGCTCAGGGAGGACGATGCCAAGATGCTTGCCGAGAAAACAGATGAAATCGGCGCACTTCGACTCGAAGTTGAACGGCTTGCAGGCGAGATTGAGGTACTCAGGAATGTGGTAGAAGAAGGCCTTAACGAAAGAAGAATGGCGAGGGAACAGCAATCACAACTTGTGGAAGGGAAAGACGAGGTCTCTGTGCTAGACCATTCAAATCAGGAGCTGAACCAGTCACATCAGGGGCCAGACCCGGTGACGACCCGTGCTAGTCTTCAGTCAACACGAAGGTTTGTTGACGTGGACGAGCTTACACGGATATCGGAAGACCTGGAGGAACGCAGATCCGAGCGATCTTCTTGTGGAAGCCCTTCCCTGTCGTCACGACATAGCTCGCGTTCGCACCCAGGTGACATAACTCGGCTCACTGACTCCGAAGAAAGCAGGCGTCACGCCACCCGGAGGGAGCCTTCGGGGGATGATGAAGTTGCCCCTTTACCTCGGATATCAGAAGACCTTGAGGAACAACGGTCTGAGGGATCCTCTTGTGGAAATGCTTCCCTGTCGTCGCGACATGGCTCGCGTCCAGGTGACACGACACACGCTCGGCTTACTGAACCCGAAGACGGGAGGCGACCTGTCATTCGGAGAGAGACCTTGAAGGATGATGAAGCTGCGCCTTTCCCTCGTATTCGCTCGGGTCGCCTCGAGAACTTATTCTTCTCTGCACCGAAACACAACTCTGGGACATGCACTCGGTGTAATCACCGTTCGGCCCGCATCGGTAGCCATGTGAACTCCAAGACCACACGCCCAAGTCAGGGACGCGCCCCACCCTTGAACGATCAGGGCTCTAGCGCACAAGTCAAAAATGATCATTTTAAGTCCCGAGCCAATGTCTTTGAACCCGATGGTGTTGATTCGTACGAAGCCCTCTTCCAGGGCGACAAATTACCACCACAGACCGTACTTGCCAGAGTATTACGAGAACTCGAGGAAGAATTCACACATCACAAAGGGTTTGGAATTTACGGCGTCATATATTGTCCACACGCTCATCTATTCTATATAGAATCTATAGTGAACTGGCTGACGAATACAAGGGTATGGACTCGATGGTGCAAGCAGCGAGGCGGCGCATTGTGGCTGATCATCTTCGAGATATCATCGATCTGATCGAGCGCAAGGTTGTACATCAAGCTCAGTTCAATGTCAATAATGCTAACTGTTTGGCAGGTCGATCAAATTCAGTCTCTATATGATCTTTTGAAGTTTGAAGATAAACCATCTTCTCGGCAACGAATATCTTGACAATCACGCCGGTAACTTCTGGGTTCAGGAGTCGAGCAGCCTCTGTTTTATTGTACACCATAATTGTAGCTTTCCAATTCAATTGCATTTATGTGTTGCCTATGGTGACTCATGATTCCTGGTGTTCAGGTAGCCTGATGGTAGACTGAAGCAGTGCCCCCCGAGTTGGCTAGCGTAATATTTCTCTAGAATAGCCTGAGCTTAGCCATCCATCGGCCCATCTTCCAGCACTCTCCGTAACGGTGTCACGCGGATGTGCGAGAAATAGAAATCATGGCGTAATAAAGGGAGGTTGGCATGGTTGTTGGTTGTTGGTCACCAGACGTTGGGGCAGTAGACGTCAGAATTTACCAACTGAGCTCGATTTCTACAACGCTTACGGCCGATTTCCTGGGTCCACACTGAACTGGAGGGGGCTTGATCAATTCAGACACGCACCCCTGTGGTGGAACAGGAACGTTCCGGCCCCTTTGCAATACCGTTGGAATCAAACCCGCCATCTTGGAGGCATCATGGTTCGTTACGATGAGATTTAGTGCAGTCAGTAATAAGACCTGTACATGTACTACATTAGTTACATGATATCTCGGCGAGTTGGTGACAATACGCTTACGGCTGGTCGGCGATATTATGAGTAGCACGCTCGAGGGTCGACTTCGAGGTTCGTTCGGAAGTTCAGGAAATGGAGACCCTCATGAACCTAAGAGCTGAGGTCTCAGATCATAAAGCGATACAGAATATCGAACTTGCTCGCAACAAGTACCGATGTCGTGAACGTTTTGCCTCCGGTATAGCAGCAGCCGTCACGCCGGTTAAAATGGGCGGACCCTCTTTTCGAGTATCGCCTCGCGATCTCTCAGGAGGGTCGAGTGTGCAAAGGAAAAAGCTGCCACGATGTTAGTATCCATTGACACGGGGACTTTGTCTTCCGGAACGGCTTCAAGATACCTATCACTTAAAGAACTCAACGCATTGGGAAGTGGGCTAGTGGACGCGAATGTCACTTGATGCCACTGTGGGAGTGTCGTCGCTGAGGAGAATGGTGCGGTGTGTTTCAAACGACGTGGTTAATGCGGACGTACATATATATACACGGTCAACGGATAAGCCTGGGATACAGCACGTATCAGCTTGCTTGAACTTGGCAGGGGAGGTTCATTAGGTGTCCGAGTCTGTTTGACTCTGTGGCTGCCTGGTTGTTTCATACTATCAGTACATGCTGCTTAGGAGAACGTAGGGGATTGCACTTTGGCTCCTGCGCAGACGTCGGTCCTATATATCTGCGACCAATATTGGCGAGGACCATGACTTACCTTTGAAACCATTAACAACGAATAAAGAGGAGGCTGATGTCATCTTTCAAGTTGGTGAAGCTGCGCGAAGTGCCTCGACGAGTATCATTCTGCTATTTATACGCATGGCCCCTGTCGGTTCACTAGCTGCCTGGACTGTCGGAGGCATGACGAGGAGAACACTAGATGGCGTCTAATCAATTCAAGTCAAGTTATTGCCTCTCAAACAGCTTCAAATAGAAGTTTACTCTGCCAAGAAATTGGGGTAATGCAGCATAAAACTACTCCTATGGTGGATACAGTGGATGAATAACGACGTCTTACAGTAAGGGAACAAGACGCGGATGTAAAGGAGCTTGACATGCCACAATCATCGTCCGTATCTGACATTCAAACATGAGCAAAACTGAACCAGAGACAGGAATAAACGCACTTCTGGAGCTCCCATTCACGATTATCAAGCGGACATACATTGCGCGTCTTGAGCCAACGTGAGATGCAGTGGAAATGGAATGCGTGCTGTGAAAGGAGTGGCGGTGTTGAGATCTAAGGAAGTCGTTGAATAGCGATAAACTCACATTGCATATCCCCCATGCAGCATTACATTCGTCTGTAGATGCAGACACCTGATTTGCTTGACAGTCAATGCCTACATGACAGCGTGCTTTGAGTAACGTTGGTGTGAGATGTAGACACATAGACGCACAAAGATCCATGATATGATTTCTGCAGATAGCGCAGTTGTCGACGACAATATCTGTGGATGCTTTTAAGTGCTTCAATCAATTTCGTGAATAGGAAGCGTACCCCATGCCCAAAGAGATACTGCATTCCACTGAGGGACTTATCAACGGCGGAGTGAGAGTACAAGACAGACAAGTCCGCACCTTCTTTACTTCGAATCGTTGCTTCCCGTCGTCCTTTGTTTCCTTTTTGGAAGGCGCAGGAGCATCGACGTCCATGTCTGTCATCTTGATCTCAAATAAACTTGCGGATGGTCGAAGTGAGTCTTGTACCGGCGTGCTCTGGCTTGGTGTCACGGGGTACTTGGGCGGTTCATCGCCGAATATAGTAGTCACATTCACACGTAAACCGATGATGTCACCTCAGGTCCTGGGGCTGCAACGTCTTGGCTGCTGCGACTGATCCAAGCTCTATCTACGACCACGTCAATCATGTCTGCAGTCACAGTAAAGCCTTGAACCATTAGCATCTGTGGCCTCTTTTCCTGACTTCAGACTTTCAGGTTTCAAACATTTCCCCAAGCACCACTCAGGAGAAGCTCCATGAATTCTTCAGGTAATAAAATACTCCTCACCACTGCCAGCTCCTTAATTAATTTATTGTACTTTCAGTTTCTGCGGCAAGTGAGTGTAGTCTATGGCTTCATCGTCCGGGTGTCATGGTTGACATCGATCCAGCATCAAGTCAATTGATCTCAAGTCCGATGGGGATTCGAAACCATCGGCAGTTGTCACCTTTGAGAAACCTTCGTCCGCCGGTACAGCGCTCATGGTATGATAATTTATCAGAAATTTCAATCAGATTAACCCAACATCCTATCTCCAGCTCAATGGCGGTACTTTAGACGGCGAACATCTCCACATCACCTCCGACGTGGAATTTAACAATCATCATGAGCAATCGCAACACTCCAGCTCACCTTTCGAACAGTCAGACAAGCCTAGAGCTGGAAGTACGTACGCACCATTTGTTATGGAATAACGTCTTGACATTTAATCATAGTTGCCGCCGAATATCTGGCAAAGGGTTACAAACTCTCCGACCACATCTTGCAGCGAGCCATCGAAATTGACAGTCAGCTGATTACTGCAACAGGCTGACCATCGGCTCACGCTTCTTTCTTGTCAGACAAACAGGGGATTTCCAAACGGTTTTTAGATTATATGCGGGGCCTCGATACCTCAGTTGGACAGAAAGCTCTCGGTCCTGACCAAACGGTGTCCGGGAAATTGCAATCGACGATCAGGGGTGCGCAGACCAGGGCAAAGACCATCGACGATCAGAAAGGTTACTCCAAGATCGCCCATGAGGTTTGTAAACCCATTATTGTTTGTTCGAATGATCATAACAATCACGCACGCGTTTGCAGTACTACTCAAAGGCGATCTCATCTCCCTTAGGAAAGTCCGTTTTCGACTTTTACACCAATACTTCAAAGCAAGTTCGTGACATTCATGAGGAGGCTCGTCGTATGGTCGACCATCAGCCAGCTACAAGTTCCGCTGCGGGCAATGCCGCACATGCCACCAGTACCGGCGCAGCCGGACCTGATGCACAACCTAGTCCCGCCACCCAGGCCGCTCCCACAGTTGTTTGAATGCTATCATACTTAAGCAAGATGGTGTCAGTGTTCTGTATGACCGTAGGACAACATATTACATCACACTACGTATTTTCAATGACTGAAACTGTAATATCATTGTACCATACATGATCTTCCCTGTACCAACAATTTGGAACCCTGATAAATCTTTCCACAAGCCTTATCAGTGAACCCGACGCTCATAGTTTGCGACATAGGGCAGGACATCCGCCGTACCTGGCGTAATGTCTTCCGAGGTGGCGATTCGTGGTCGTTGGGTTGGTTGTAGTAGCCATACTAGTTGTGCTCATGATGACTGGATATATCTTACGATAACACCACACTGGCAATTTAGGACATCACATGTAGTGACCGCAAAAGTTATATGGACGCATGTCGACGCAAATAAAATAAGGTGAACGATCATCACGCGCTGGTGAGCGATGGAAAATCATAGTGGGTCTGCGTATCTATGGGGCAGAGTGTGGTTCTGACCCAAAGAGTGCTACAAACTCCTGCATACCTTGTAAGTTGGCGGTGGAATCTGGAATCAATAGATTCTTGGCACCCTGCGATACAATCATCGGCGGTCAGCCTAGGCCTTTTTTCTGCGGAGCCGATGAGTATTGAAATTGACTTATCTGTATGGTCGCCGCAACTAGGCAGAGAGAAATGCCTAGGGCAGTGGACATATGAAATTCCTGCGTGCTCAGGATGGCCAATGAAGTTGTGCTGCAATTGTGCCAAAAGAAATAATGCCCTCATTGTTAATAAGCTTAGAGAACAAAATACGAATTGAACTCTCGGTCCCGATATCAACATCGTCCGCCGGAAACCTACGTTGGAACTTGGCTCGGTACGTACCTGAAATTGCCACACAGAAGATCGACAAGGAAGGTTTATACCGGAAAAGGTTTGCATGGGTGCAAGAATTTCGTACAGCCAACTTATCTCTTGACTTATCAGCCATTCGCGCAGCGACTCGTAAGTCATGACACGGTGCCCACTATGAGATGTTTCTTTCGATCCGCGGCAAGGACAGCGTTTACTGCACGTGCTTCTTGTTGAGATGACTTCGATGGTACAGACTTCGTGCAGCGACCGCATGGTATGAATGCATAGTAAATAAATCACGAAGTCAAAGCAGAAGTATGTGTGATTGTAACCGGTCGGAAGGTAAACTCAGCCACCTAATAACTTGCTAATACTTACGTACCGCGGAACCTCTGGTCACTCAAGCACAAATTGCACAGCTCGGTCACCGGTGTACAAATCACCATCACCTGCAGGCTCCAGGATCCGCCACAATTCTGCCATGCTTGGTTCTACCCGACGAAGATAATATCGCCGTAGCTCATTTTCATTCTGTCGCAAACGTGTCAAATATTCACATGGCGAATGCCCCAGCGAAGCATGAGCGTATGCTTGTTTGAAGCCTCCTCGATCTTTAACCGAAGGCCGATACGTGAATGGTTCAAGATTTATGTGCCTCAGCTAGGTGCCAGACCGAGCCCGAGCTACATATCTATCCCAAACAATCCAAGGCGTGTTCAAGTTCGTCACCCATATGGACTGCAAAGTATTTCTCAAGTCCTCGACCCCGCGGTGCCGTATTGCGATAATGTACGGTGCGTATGATTGCCCACTCAATCGTGGTTCACTTATTAATTGATTTATAGACAATCTTTACATGATTCATCTACTTAGCGTAGAATACCGTTTTTCAATCGGAAGCAATTCAAGGAAAAATCACAAATACAATCCGATTATCAATATCATCGCAGATTCGCTGTGTACCATGAAATCCGCCTCTATTGATCGGGGTTTCAGGCCATGCCCTTATGTGCTGTAGAGAAGCCAATAGACTTCCCTCTCAACTAGGGTACCAGTCGTCGACCCACCATCTTTCGTTGTTCGGCCGTCAGCATGATCTCGGCCGAGTTCACTGGTACTGATTACTATGCAGTAGCGTAAGGTGTCCCCAGAACTTCGGCCGATCAGTGTAACGCCGAAGCTCATTGATACACGGTACATACATAACACTGACATGAATCCCGAATTTCAGGTCTGCTCAGCAAAGAATAATATGCATGGCTTGTCAAACCCCCCCGTTGACCTCAGACTACTCTGCGTCAAACTACAATCGGACAGCGGCATTTGTGTATTCTGCTGAGTACACTGCGCCCGTTTTATCTCTTCTGAACCCTTCCATTGGCGAACGAATTGTTGACTTTGGATGTGGGACCGGGGAACTGACCTTGCAGATCCAAGAAGCCGTTGGTGCAAGTGGGCTGACCGTTGGTATGGACTATAACAATGACATGGTAGGATCACATGGATTTGTACGAAGAGGGAATGCTCGCACCTAACCGATGTCTTTGTCAGATTTCCAAAGCCTTGATGAACGGGGTTAGACACGCATACGTGTCTGACCTTCAAAATATTCAGTTACATGAACATGTATTGGAGAATTCTTTCGACGCTGTCTTCAGCAATGCCGTACTACATTGGTGTAAACAAAATCCGCGCGGAGTTCTGGCCGGAGCAAAGCGGTTGCTTAAGGTCGGCGGGCGGTTTGTATGCGAGATGGGTGGGTTCATGAATTGCATCGGTAAATCTGCGCTCTTGACCGGGTACATGTTTAATGACGACAAATGCAGGCGTTCGGATCGGTCTTCACCGGGCTGTCAAAAGACGCGGTTACGAGCCCGATAAAATGGATCCCTGGTACTTTCCGTCAATCGAAGAATATCAAGGGGTGTGTCGTGTGTTGGAATGGCTGTCAGCTGCTCACAACTTTTTCCCGTTGGCTGTGTAGCTATTGCAAAACGCAGGTTTCCGCGTCAATACCATTAGTTTGGTTCCAAGGCTGACGCCGCTGCTGGACGACGGCCTCCATGGATGGCTCCAGCTGTTCGCGCGCCGAACGTTCCTGAAGGAATTCAGTGACGAAGAGGCCGCTGCCATCATTGATGAGGTTGTAGATATGTGCGAGGTTGACATGAAGGATAAAGAAGGGAATTGGGCTCTCATGTACGTTCGATTGAGATTCTTGGCAACCCTTGATCGCCTTTGATGGAACTGTAACTGAGGAAAGATGCGCAAAGTTGACCGTAAAGATGTACATATTTAATTACGACGAATACGATCCATCTCTGTGCTAACTTCTAAGAGTCATGCGCTTGATCCCAGACTATCCCCCTATAGGCAGAGAATCCAAATAGATGCCAAACAAGGGTCCACTCGGACCAACAAGAATGAGAACGGTCACGTGGTGAAAACACGCCGCGGTTCTATGAAACTCGGCCAGCTGCAGTACTAACACTCTTACTTTTGGTGCCATGGGAGAAGCTCGTCCAGCATGGATGACAGACGATCTAGACGAAGAGTGGATAGATGAAGATGAGGCGTCGACCATGGGCACTCAGTCCATCTCTCTCACAACTCCGTTGCCCGGCTACTTGCGAACTCCAAGTCAAGCTCAGGAGGACACTGAGCCACTTCCAGCAGCGTCCGAACCAGTCGGTACGTTTTTGATCCGCGAGGATATTCCCGCGTCAGCTCTCTTGCCAAAGACGCCTGGCCGACAACCCAAGAGGGGCGTCATTAAAGACTTCTTCAGTCCTCTAGCACTCGAGAAAATGTTCGAGCCACCTTCACCACCTCCTTCGAGGCCAACTGCACTTGCGCTTCAGTCTGCCCCGACCGTGCCTTCTCGCCTATGTCAGGCGTACACGCCAAACGACTCACAGACAGACCTCGAGTCACGAGGCCAGCCTACAGCGGCCCTTTCCCTCAATTCACTTGCGCCGCCCGGATCTAGTGTGGAATGCAAATTTACTTTTGCTGTCTCCCGCACCAATGTTAGTGTGCCTCAGGCAGAAAGCACGCCAGGTGTTTACAGCATCGCACGACCTCCCATGACAGACCCACGCCTACGCCTGTTTCAGCTTCAGTACGACACATTCACGCGTGATCACTTGTCGGCGATGGTCGATTCAATAGCAATAAATACGACGCCCTCTGGTGGAAGCGCAGAAGGCAACGGTACTTCCAGGAGCATCCCACGCCTAGCATTGGTCAACGTGCAAGAAGCCACCGTCTCAGATGACACACCTATTCGCAGCATCAAACGGGTCAAACTCAGCCCTCCAAGCCACTATTATGGTGAAGGTGATGGCGCAGGTGCTACCATCGCGAGGCCCATGGTTTCAAGGGTAGATTATGTCGGCGAGTCTCGTTCCCTTATGCAACAGATCAAGGCCGCACGCGATTTCTCGACGATATCTACTACGGGAGGTTTGCAGTCCCCCGAAAGTCAGACAAACAATAGAGCTGAGGCTCTTAACACACAGTCCAAGCCTTCACGAGGTATGTAAACCATTGTGGTATATGTGTATTAATCGCGAACACTTGCATAGGAACCGGTACATCTGTCCTTCGTGTCCCCGACGAGCGCAGCGCGGTTACTACGAGTTCATCAACAGCCGTAACTGCTTCTAGTAACCATTCCTCCTTGGCATATCGCCATCAAGCAGCGACCCTGATGGAGCAGATCAAAAACGATATCCGAGGTTCTAAACGTATTTTCTCGGGTACCACGGACGTATCCCATCCCGCCCACGCGGACGAGGTTTCGCGTATCGAACACTCGTGGTCTCTATCCGAAGTCAATGTCAATGTTGGCAAGAAGAAAGCCAATAAGTTTGGATCACCCCGCAGGCTATCCTCTTCCTCGAGGAGCTACCGCAGTCCTCGGAAGGCGTCGCGCAACACCATCATTGAGGATGCTGACCGAACATTGGAGCATGAAATGTCCAATATGTCCATTGAAGCACCCTGGCAAGTGCCAGTTACATCCGTCGCACCCAACGCAGGCCTCAACAACGTCCCACACATTCGAGTAACTCCTTCGGCAATTCAACAATCTATGGCACATCCACCTGCACAGATTCCTCCTTCATATCCTTCGTCCTCGATTCGTTCTGGTTCCAACGATGATCTTAACAGGATGGTGTCCTCCAGCACGGCATCTGGAACCATAACCACAACGAGCAGTGCACCCTCGTTCGTAAAGCATGCCGGTCCAGTTCAGATCACCCGCATCGCACCATCGGATGTACCAGCCCTTCCGCAAAGGGTCGGCCGTATGGTCTACGACAAGGATCTGATGAAGTGGGTGAGGGTCGCTACTCGTACGGCTTCAGATGCCGAGGATCAACGCGATCAGACAACTGGCACGGCTACAGATGGAGATAGCGAAGATCCATTCAAAGATATAGAGAGCCTGAAGGGAGATGATGACTCCAGGGATACGCATGGGAGTGTGCACGGAGGCGTTGTCCCTGAAGCTGGAGGAGACCAGGATGAAATGGAGATGGGTCGTATCGAGGAGGTCGAGGAGGACGTGGAGCTGAATGATCAGGAAGAAGTAAACCTGACGTCCTTTTCTTTCGACGGGCCATCGGTCGCAGTTATTCGCATTGTGCCATCGGACGATTCGGAAGGAGATGAGGAAGTGCAGACCAGCGATTCCGAACCAGACGACCGCGATGGAGCTGCCCTCGGGGGCGAAGGTGAGGACGCTGCTGCCGTCTTTGAATCAGAGGATGAATTTTCGCCTGAACTGCAAGCTGGTTCACCTGCCCGGCCCACTTCGAACTCTTCCGCGGTAGCTGTTACCCCAGTTGCGCCACAATGCCGGTCATTTTCGCTTATTACTTCAATGCCCCGCTCGGCACTGAAAAGCATGAGCGTTACTCCCGTGTCAGCTATGAAGGATCCGAACCGTGATCGGCACCGTACTCCAGCCCAGCGTCTTGGCCATCGCCGTTCCGTAAGTTTTTCTGATGGGAAGAGGGAAGGGCCTATACGGGGCCTGAACCCAAAAGGCCACGAGAGTGATGACGACGTGGGTAGTCTTGCTACGAGCGTCACTGAGCATGACCCTGCACAGGGGCTATTCATACCCTCGGCAAGGTCCAGACGGATAGCGGAGTTGATGGAGAACCTAGAAAGTCCTGGTAAGTTGATATGATGCCCTAAATTTGTGGCCCGGTGTTGATATATGGCAGGCTTTGATAACGTCTCCCCTACGAAAGCGTCAAGTTCGGGCCGTCCGCGGACAGAAGAACTTCAACCCTTTGCTTCTAGGCGGCCGAGCAGTCAAATGGCTGTTGCCGATTGCAACGATCCGACCCGTCGAGTTTCCTCGATGTCACAAAAGAGTCGTTTAAGTGGAAAGGCAAACGCTACTTTCCTGACAGAGTGTTCCTTTGGCTTGGCGCATGACCGACTGGTGCAGGTGATCACTGATATCCAGCCATTTGAGCCCCACTGGGACGAGCTGCATGCTGTTGACCTTTCTCGCAAGTCACTGGATGGTGTGACTCGACTGAAGGAATTCCTACCAAAGCTGGATTCTCTAATATTGTGAGTTGCTGAGCTGCGGAAGCAAATGGCAACGGCTGTTGACGCCCTCTGATCAGAAATCACAATCAGCTGTCATGGCTGAGCGGCATTCCCAATTCTGTCCGAACGCTTTCTGTCGCTCACAACCTGTAGGTTTTTTTGTTATATTCAAGTTTTTGATTCCACTGACATCACGCAAGACTGACAGGTGTCACTTCATTTAGTCACTTGCAGAATATTGAAAGCCTCGACATAAGTCACAATGACATTGAATCTTTGACACGTGGGTACCGAGGACCGTGTCAAAAAAAGGATGGCTGACAAGTAAACGTGGACCTCCAGAACTGCAATGTCTTCGGCACTTGAGGGAGTTAAGAGCTGATGGAAATCACATTACTAGCATCGACGGCCTTCAGAAATTGGATGGACTGACCAAACTTAGTCTGCAAGGCAACCAGATTCAAGAAGCCGACTTTGGCAAGTTTCGATGGTAGGCGCAATCTATCCCAAACTCTCCTATGGTGACCAACAATGTATACACAGGCCGCGTTTGGAGATGCTAAATCTGAGCGGGAACTGTATACGGAGTATCTTGAACTTGGCATCAAGCCTAGCTGGACTAATTGCGCTCAATATCGGTGAGTAACCTTAACTCCATATTGTGTTGGGCCCTGGATAACGAGCACAGGTTCCTGTAGACAATAATACAGTGGACAACATTGATCCTGGCGGCATAATGCCAAGACTACGCATCCTTCGAGCTAGCGGCAACCGACTTAAGCGCCTGAACGTTGCCCCGTTTCCAAACCTCCGCACGCTCTACTTGGACAACAATTCTCTCGACACTCTCGTAAAAGCGGAACGCCTTAATAAGCTGGAGAATCTTAGCATGCGAAATCAGACTTCTTGCGGTTTGTGAGTGCATAGCTTTTCGGTGTTTGTGTTGACGTGATTAACGGAATTCTTCATTATACTGTTCCTGATGGCGATGGTGATGTGATCTGCAGCTATCTGTCGACTCGCCAGTTCCGCGATGTGAAGCGGCTATACCTTTCCGGTCCGTATAGGAAAGGATGGATCAGCTGAGACCGAGCTTATCCGTTTTCTAGGTAACAAACTGAAGAGTGACTTCATTGAAGAGCCGTGTTACAATCTGGTGTACCTTGAGGTAGCCGCTTGCCGGCTGAGCTCTCTCCCACACGATCTGGCGCGTCTAACACCGAACCTGAGGGTTCTGAACCTGAACTATAACTTTCTTCACGATGCGGTCTCGCTGGAGGGGCTTACTCGACTTAAGAAGCTCAGCATGATTGGATCTCGCTTGAAGGGGACTAAACCGCTGATCCGCATATTACAGTGTATGCCTGATGTGGAAATGCTCGATTTTAGGTGAGAACGTGGACCCTGTGTATTACGAATTGAGGACTAAGGTTCTTTGTACAGGATGAACCCCTGTACGCTTGGATGGTATCTTCCTGTTCTAGTGAAGGACGTACCAGGGGCACTGCAACCATCCGAGAGACACGGTAGTAGGGACGGAGAGGACGCTCTAGCCAGGGGTGAGAAGGGAAGCACGGAATATGGATGGCAAGAACTGGACTCAAAGTTCCGCCGGGACCTCCCGGATGATGCATATGTCGGCCGCCTTGCATACCGAGGGCTGGTGATGCGGGCATGTCCCCGGATTGGGATGCTAGATGGGGTGTTAGTTTCGGAGAAGGAACGGGCGAAGGCTGACCAACTGTTGCAGGGTATGATGGGGAAGAGTAAAATTAAGGGGGCCAAGGGGAAGTCAGGGACGAGTATCGGCGCTGGGGACTAGTACCATTGCATGATCTTTGCGGTATCTGTAAAAGGACGAGGATTGTTACGTGAAGGAAGGTGATGATGGGAAAACTGGTTGATCTGAGACCAAGCGTGAGTTGTCGATCCCGAAGTTTAGTGGGGTGAAGATTTTAAGTTGGGAGGAGAGGATATCGATGGGGAAGGCGGCCATGGCAGTGCAAAAGAAACGTAAGTGAACCCTATTAGAACGGCTGTCCGGTGCCTTAGCAGGATCTGAAACTCGAGGCGAATGAGATTGAATAATATAACCAAATTTGGATCGGATTATGTATCTTGGATACAAATTTGATAGGCTGAGTGAAGAGTACGATATGATGTCGAGAACGACAGTTTCCGTGAGATCTAAGAGTACATCTGAATGTCATCTGAATGGAAACGGGACCGAGGAATAAAACCAATGAAAAAGAAGTATTTTGATTGGGTAGTTCTGTTTTTAATTTATTTAATACCTTTAGTTTATTCGCTACCGACGCTCATGACGCGCTGATGTCGGGATGAATATCGATGAATTCCGGTTTGGGTTCTTTCCCGTGCCTCAGATCAAAGGGAATCGCATCTAGTTTATTTCAGCTTAATAATTTCATTTTCTTTCTTTCCCTTATTTTTCCCGACTCGGATTTCCTTTCCCTCTTAAAATCCCGCATCTTTCTCTTTCCCCCTTCTTCACCTAAATATGATTGACTCTCCTCTCGCAATTAGCTCTTACAACGTTGCTCAATTACAACTATCTTTACAGTGAGTATTATTCCTTTTTTTTTATTTTATAAAAAATTCTTTAAATCAGATTTCATAATCACGCCTGTCATATGTCAAGATCATGTCTGTCAAATGTTTTACAATCTTTCTTTCCTCTCTCATCCTCATCATCTTGACCTGACCCCCATCATTTACCTTCAGACTTGGTCCAAAAATCGACCCTGTCTCCTTCCCGGACCATTTATCAAACTGTGCCTCCCCGGCTATCCTGTGGGTCACATTCGTGCCTTGCCTCGCCGCATCCCGATCTCACTTATTATATTTACTAAAGTCCCACAGACTCCGACTTTGATTATCCTGCTCGACGAATGTCAAGCTCTACAGTCTCGGCAGAGACAGACAGCAGTGTAGCCTCTCGCCCTGAAAAGCGTCCCTTGTCTCCTTCATCTTCCCCTCAACCTCCCAGAACCCGTCCTTCAGAACTACCTTCTTGGCATTTTGATAACACTCATAGTCCTAGACAAGAAGACAAGCCAGTCGAGACTGGTCTCGACAATTCAAAGGTACAATTACCTTCCATATTCTCTACCTTTGAGGATCCTTTCCTTCGCCGAGCTTCCTTACCGGCTCTCTCACAAGATTCAAATCCTCGCTACCGATCCGCTCCATACCCCCCGACTCATCTCCGTCGCGCATCGCACGCATCCACTAATCTCGTCTCATACCACTTCCCTCCTCCCACCGATACCTCTGACTTTCCAGATAAATCTTCTACTCGTCCTCGCTTGACTGCTGACACCCATCTCAATTATTCCTACGGAGACTCCCCCTCATACCTCTCCAGCACAACTACCCCGAGTTCCCATTTTTCCTCTTCCAATTTCACATCCCCCCTTTCACCCGATATTAAATCTCACCCCACCCCTGCTTCCGCATACGTAGAATCAGACTCTTGGAACGACTCCCCTTCTGGTATTGTTCGTCCGAGTTCAACGGGCCAGTTACCAAGCACCGTCAACAAGTACGACGACAGCGTCAGACACTCCTCCTTTAGTACTCAGCCACAGATGTTTTCTGCTGCTCCACGCCTTCCTGCCCAACAGGATCGTAGACTTTACCCCGCTCAGCCAAAGGATGACTGGAATTTTTCTAACCAGGATTATCCCTTTTCCTCAAACAGTCCCTCGTTAAATACGACAAACAGCCCAGTACCCTCCGCCGCACCAGCACCAGCAACAACGTCGTCTCCCACATCCCGCTCCCCTCCGTCTGCACCATCATCTACTTTAGTTGATCGCCCCATGCGGAAGAGGGGCAAGTTACCCAAGGAAACGACAGACTATCTAAAGAACTGGTTGCATCGTCACTCTGACCATCCATACCCAAGCGAGGAGGAGAAAAAGCAGCTTTGCCATGCCACTGGATTGAGCATGAGCCAAGTCTCGAATTGGATGATTAATGTCCGTATTTTTTTTTCACTTGTTCATTCAATTAATTAACATAATCTCCAGGCTCGCCGCCGCATTTTAGCACCCGCTCATCGAGCAGCACAGGGACCGACCACCTCTGTACCATATCCATCTTCCACTCGCACAGTGCCCGCTTCTTCTCTCTTAGATCACGCCCAACACACTACAATGGTAGTGGCGGCGGCGGCAGTGGTCTAGATTACTCCCAGAATAGACTTGGGCTGTCCACATACAATCTAGGACATAACCATCATTCTGCGAGTGGAGGGCAGTCCGGCTATCTTCCATCGGGCGTTCCGATGTCCGCGCCGCCCTCCCTTCCACCCAACCCATTTGGATCTCACAATATGCACAATCAATCTTCGTTGTATTCTGCACAGCATCACCACTCGTCGTTGTCCCCCGGCTTCATTTCGAGCCCGTCGCAGAGCTCCCCAAGGTTGCCTGCTCATTCACCGGACTCGCAGTCGCATTCCTATTATAACGAAGGACAATTGCATCCGTCTGTAAATGCTGGGCCGGCCTATTCAGCTCCACAGTGACCACGACGTTGTAACAACATCGAATCCTATCCGGATGCCTTGTTTCTTCGAAAAACACCGTTCGTGTAACAATATTATTATACTGTTTACCTAAAGCACCTAATCACTTGTACTACTCGTATCCACTTTCTTGAGACCACGCACTCTTTCGTTGGTCGCCCAAAAAAATAAAACAGAGATATTTCTGGTCACCGGGTTCGGGCGCAGTCTGTTGCAACATATTTCTCCCACTGCGGTGCTGCACATGATCCTGCGGAACCTCGTGTCTGCCGCTTGCAGCCGATCTGATGAATTCCTGTGTTCTGGGGTTCTATCTCACAGCGGCCTACTTCTTATCCTGGGCCCGGATCTCCCTTTTCATAATGAAATCTGGGTACTTCGTAGTCCTCTTATGATCGAACCGTTGCATTATTTGATTTTAACACCTCGGGATGTGCAATTTCCCCCTTTCCGGCTAATTTCCGGCCCGCTCGTTGGCAGTGTGCGATCAAACTTGGAACGGGGGGGATCATCGCTCGGCGCTTTCAACTAGCGATTTGCTAACTGCCATCTTCATTTTACCTGCTCTGGAAAATACGTTCCGATGGCTTGCAAGGGGCCGTGGATCATATCCGCAAACTCGACCGCGTTGAAATCGACTCATCGCCGCGATCATCCATGACCTAACCGAAGCTAACCGCAAAAGGATCGCTCCTCATATGTACGACACGGTCGCGGTACACTGGTGGGAGTGGGGCGACAGTGCGGAGGGCCCAGATCATCATTTACGCACCTCCTTCGATCCATCGCTACGACGCGAGGCGCTTTAACTTTATCACTTATAGGAGGGTAGGCGTGTAGAAGCGCACGTGAGTGCAAAGCCGCATCTGAAAGCGGCCACCGCCTTGTTGGGATAGCTACGCATTGCCTCATTATCCCATTCGAGGCCCTTCAGGAACTCCACTCCGCACTCAATGAGTACGAGAGATGAGGTAAGTACAGGAACGGTGACTGATGGCGTCACTTTAACCTTCATGTCTGACTTTGGTTCATTTGTGCGGAGGAAACGCACAAGTGGTACGTACACACCTTTTTGGTATATTTGATTGCACAGCTATCGAGAATGGAAAGGGGGGGGGGAAGATCAGTGATATCACTGAACATGGAATAATAGTATTACAAAAAAAACACACCCATGAAACATAGAGATAAGTAGCGAGGCACTGCTCCCATCCTTCGCTTAGAAGTCGAGAAGGACGATCAGACGAAGCGCATACGACATGACTTCCCGTGGGTCTCATGTACGAATTGGCCGCCGGGAATCAGTGCCAAGAGAGACCTCGAGAGGGGGCGAACCTGGCAAAATAGATGGTGGGTATGTCTGCCAACCCTGAAGATAATGCCGTACTTGATACGCGTGCAATGACATGATCAATGTCATCCTTCGATGCAGGCCAAACGATAAGTGGCATGTGGTTTCCAGGCATGGCCTCTGATTTTACCACAGGGCGAGCGACGACGCTACACGAGGGAGATAGCTACGCGTGAGCCATGTTGCAGCAATCAAAACGAAGAAGCGAAGGGAAAAAATAACAGAATTAACAGAATAGAATAGCGGGGAATGCCTTCGATCATTTTGTCCGAGGGAATTAAAAGAATCGGACGGAAACTGCCAGAGCGCGGCACAGATGACGGTAAGTGTCCGACATGGGCTCCCAAAGGACAATAATTTAATACAAAAAAAAATAGCAAGAGCGGACACTTACTTGAATGTTTTCTCAACGACTACTGAGGGGTCTATAGAAAATTCAAGCTAACGAACTAGCGAGAACAGGAATGCCTTGATCCTGTGGAGCCAAAAATATCAATACACCGTGCAATTCGATGACACGGCGGAGTAATTCGATCAAAGCTCTAGGAAAGGCTCCATCTATCTTATGACCGTGCCTGGCGGGACAAGTTCGCGTGCTTAACAACGCATAGGAGAACTCAAGTATGTGACCGCGTGTTCATGGGAAATCATAGTGCAAGGCCCGCAGTGTGCAGCGGTCCGCCTCAAACTAAAAAGCTCATAATCAAAAAGGCACCGGTGCACACCTACTCTGCGAGGGCAAACCTGAAGCCAATGCATCCATGGCTCCCACCAAGGAACGTAAGCATGTTGGAATAAAGTCCTTGGATTTCTTTAACTCGCTCAGGAGGGTTCTGCCATGGTTCAGGCCTGTCCCGATGGGCCGTCAGGGAAAATACAATGGAACATGAGGGAACGTGCCTGAAGGAGTAAGCGTCTTCCCCCCATATGTCCTTCTTCTTGTTGATAGCCTGAATGGGCATGGTGATAATGTCATGCTTTCTAATCTTGATAGAGTTCCTGTACTCCCCACCCTTGTCGAGAAAGGGTTTCGCCACTGATATTTGGTCATCCTTGGTCGCAACTCTCATCGTCCAGGTTACTGGGGCATGCACTCTGAGCGTCTCGCGAACAACCTAGTCGAGATACTAGGTTTCTGATATCATCATCTAGAGTCGGCGAACTGATAGGAATTGTTCGCAGGGCCTTGCGAAGCGATATCTGGCTGTCTGGAAATTTGGCCAGAGAGTACAGACACCATGTGAGTGTAGAGGACGTTATTTCATAACCTGCAATCAAAAAGGTCGAAATTTGACATAGGATTTCGTCTGTGCTCATGTGCTGAGAACCGGATGTTTCGAGATTGGAGGCCACTGCATCGACGGTAAATTCCGGCATCCGTGTTTGCAATCGTTGAAACATACCAAGAACGGTCAGGCGGTCTCTTTGTCTTGGAACATTCCTTTCTGCGATAGCGCTCTGGAGGCGAACCTCGATAAGCTCGAGTCCAATGTGATTGAGATGCGCATGCGCTTGCGCCATAATTGTACCATGACGCCGCTGATGGGGCATGGTTAACAACCCCGCCACAGGGCGAGATTCGTTGGTAGCGGAAGAGATAGCCCGCTCACAAATAGTCTTAGCAGGGGTATCCAAGTCTCGAATATGGTTCTGAGTGCTAGCTGCCGTGGTGAAGATTACATAGTAGGCATTAGCTAGTTCATCGTTTTCCCCTGACAGGGCATTGAACTGGTACCCAAACCCTGTAAAGGCAATGTTCGGTACTTCGTAGTATACGAGCTTATAGTAGAAAGCTACCAGCAAGTTCAATGACGTCCAAAGTTGCTTTTGATGACCAGATAATGACATCAATGGGTTGAGAAGCATGCTCCTGGACGGCCCGAATCCAAACATCCCGCAGCTACAAAAATGCGCTTTGATTTCTCCGGCAGCGAGTCAATATCTTACCTGATTGGCTTTGTCCCAGAACGCTGGATAAAGCGTTTTAACATGTGCAGCCGTGAATGCCGGAGCCTAAAGTACGGAGGCAGTGAACATAATCAGTAAGTTTTTCCGGGTGCACTTTCAAGTTTCATCGAATGGAGGCAAACCTTTCCCGCGTGTAGATGCGGCCCCGGGCGGACCATAACCACGCTGCAGCCAAGACGTAGCATCGGATATAATCATGACTGCATGTTTCGCTGAAATTGGAATTTTGTAAGTGACTACAATCTTACAAAGCGCGACGAGCGAGCCTGACCTGTCTGTGTCCCCTTCCACTGTCAGTGCTCCGAGTTCGCCGGCACCCACACTGGCCAGGTTGTCGCGAATGAAGTCGGGTTTATGGCAAATATCAGACTAATCCAGCATATGAACGATATCAATCAGGTCGGTTGTCATCAGCCGAGACCCTCCAAAGAAACCTCTGTATGCATAAGTCGTTCCGTTTCGAGCGTCCCAATCAGCAAGGAGACCATTATTTTCTTGATGACACTAATCTCCGCGAGATTGCCAAAAAGTAAAGACAGGCAGGGTGGGCCGCGCAGCTTGTGCAAGGGTATTGCCTGATGAGCAAGAGAACGATGTGCTTTAAGACATAACCTGACAGGAGGGGGATACCGAGTTTAGTGACAATTGACATGGGCGCTCCCAGTAATATGGGGCTCAGTGCCACATCGGGAATTGTGGAGGATCGTGAGAGGCATTTTCTAAATGTAGATGCACACCATTGAAACTTTTATTTGTATTTGAATCAAGTACGGGCGGTCTTCTTCGCCAATCCATTGAATTAATGTCGAAACTCGAACTGATATATCAGCAGTTGTGTTCTCTTCCAGCTTCCGAGCTTCTCTCGATCCATCCGAATGACCTGGCAGCTTCTGGCTTTCAGCTTCCTGCAAGTTGGAAGGGTTGGTGGGAATGGGCCACATCAATAGATGATGAAAATACACCATGCATCCCAAGGTGGATGTCGATTCTCCATTACTATTCTCCGTCGCCCGATGACCAGCGGACGGGAAATCAAGTTCCGAGCAATAAATCTTCAGTGGGCCTGATTTATGATCAGCGCGTGCAGGCAGCATGCTCATCCTGCGATAGATCCCGCCCGATTTGAAAGCGCTCATCGATGTAGTTGTCCGCCTCCAGTTGAGGAGAGATCACGTTGCCATCGGGAAAACCTCCGAGTCGGGTCAGTCACACTTCAGAGACCTACCAGGCACCCTGAACGGCTTCCTCACTCGTTGGCTCATCATATTGCTTTGCATGTCCAGGGAATGCTCATCGAGCTGGGCCCCGATCATATGGCATGTCGCCAAAGAAAGACCACGAGGTCTCCAGGATGTCAGAATACATCAACCGACTTTTAAATCTAGGTTCTGCGGATACATTACATCATGTTGTTGATGTGGGTTCAGGACAAGTTAGTATCTTCATCTTTGAAGTTGCGTTACCCGATAATCAATGATTTTTTTTTAGGGATATTTGTCTCGTGCCGTTCAAAATTTGGGTCTACATGTGCTAGCTCTTGATTCCAATGAAATCCAGACCTCCGGGGCTGAACGCTGGAAAGCAAAAGAAGCAGCAAGAAGGCAGAAGCAGCTTAAAAAGGGGAAGGACGCCCAGAGCGGCATGCCCGACTCAAACCATCACTGCAACAGTCCCCTTTTCCAATCACACGTGCCCACCTCTGTACCTTCGGCTTTCACTGCCAGCAAAAACATAATACACAGCCGTATGGGTTCTCTTACCCACCAAACCATCTGCATCAATCCCCGCACACTTGAATCGTCGATTCGCGATTGGCTTCTCTCCAGTGAAGACAACCGAATCGCTGGTAGCATGATCGGAGATTTGCTTGTCGACAGGACTGATCAACGCACACCTGAGGAGAAGCCAGTCCCTGTGATGATGGTTGCCCTTCACGCCTGCGGATCGCTCACGCCTGATGTCCTTCGCGCGTTCTTGTCTAATCGCCGTAGACCCTCAGCCCCCGATGCCATTTGGACAGCACAGGCAATCGTTATAGTGGGATGCTGTTACAACTTGATGGCACCTGAGGGTGAGCATCAGTTTGTATGGCTGTTTTAGGCAAGTTTTGTTACAGCTGCACTGGTAGATTTTCCGTTGTCCCGGTCGCTTCGTGAACGAACCCCAGTAGCAACACTTCCTCTTGCCTCTCGCCACCTGGCTGCACAGATCCCAGCTCAATGGCTCCGCAATGAAACGTCTGCCCGAGAAACATCTTTAGCAATACGCAAGGTAGTTTTCCGAGCCCTTCTTCAGCCTCTCCTTCAAATAATAGGTGCACGAGAAGCCTCCGCAAATCACACTGTTGACGATCTCCGCGGCGCAGGTCAAACACTAGAAAATATGCGTTTGGGGAAACTCCCTGATGCTGCGTACAAGGATTGGGAAACGTTCCTTGATCGCGCGACTTCGAAGACTGGCGTCCGACTCGACCAAACCGCGGCACAGTCTCCCGTTTATGTTCATAATGAGCGTGAACGAAGGCAGCTGGAAAGTGCCTTGTCAGTATTGCACGTATTGAGGTGCATCATGGGACCTCTGATAGAATCCCTCATCCTCCTTGATCGACATGAATGGATTCGAGAAGAGTTGAACGGCAGTAGTGGATCACAGGGGTCAGACGCAATGGATGTTGACCTCGTAAACCTGTTTGACCAGGCAACAGGAAGTGGAAGGAACGTAGCTATTGTTATCAAGCCTCGCGAATGGCGCAATATGATCTAGACATTGCTTGAGCCAGTCAGAGGGCACCTTCAGTCTTTTATGTGGGTCGTATGTTAAGGATTGGCTCAATTGACGTGAGAGCCTTGAAATGACCATGAAAAGATGTCCTTTCCTATCTTCACTGCGATAGTATCCGCGCCGAAACCTCCGATGTGAGCGGATGAAACCATAGCACCAAATCGCTGGTTTAGCGTAGGGATGAGCTCAGATGGAAAGTGCGGAACACGCGGAAAACACTCGGCCTGGAGTTCTTTATTAGATTCCCCGATATCCCCGTTACTAGTCAAGTTGCTGCCCGATGTGCCTTCCACGACGCGAGGTTGTCCTTGAGCGCCGGCGTCTCCGTTCCCTGACGTGTCAGAATCCAGAAGAGCCCATGCTATCGAAACGTGGAACCGTGGTTGGCTGTAAAAGTCTCGTTGACGCAGGAACTGAAGGGTTGGGGACAGTGCGGATAGCAAATTTTTAAGCTTCAATAAATCAGTTCAGTTTGTAATCAGATTGATGTCGCTGAGGATGACGACGAACTTCATGATGACCGGCTCCTACCTCGAGGGAAAGGAACGCCCTCGTTCGCTCATCGTTTGTAAGCTCCGAAAACGATACGAATGAAGCCTGAAATCTTCGCAACGGTAAGAGACCACGAGTATACAATGGATCGTAGCGTACGGGCTTTGGCGTGAAGCAATAATTTTTATGGCTTGTTTGAACTCTTCTCTCTGGTGGGCGCGAAGAAATATCGGTCGAGTCAATGACAAGTGCAGCTCCCGCGCCCTGCGAGAGCTATTGACTATCGCATCATCACTATTCCTACTACATGAGACACTTTCCCCTATGACATGGGCGGCCGGGACCATTTCCTTGGTGACATCAAGCACCTCATCGATCAACGAGTACAATGCAGTTTTAGGGTGCACCACGAGGGGAATGTAAACATACGCGGCATATTGGCCCTCTACGTGCGGGGTTGCACGAACTCGTCCTTGATGAAGAGCAGGGTCATCGACGGGTACTGGTACGATCAAGGATGATGCAAGAGACGGCAGCTTCCTGTGCGCACGTTGAGCAACACGGACAGAGATGATGAAATGACCGACTTCTTCTTTCTCTCTGGAGGGTTGGCTGGAGCTTCGTCTTCGGAGCTAGAGTAAGCTACCAGGGCCCCTGATGCACGCTTCATGCGCGACTTGGTTGCGTCGGTCACGGAGGAACAGTAGGTTATAGCGCCCGCCGGCAGACTCCGAGTGTTCATCAATCGTAACTTAGTACTGCTCAGAACGCCGATCACGGTCGGTGATAGTCACCTTATCATTGATAATGAGTGTTCAATTCATCAACAATCTAAATTCTTCCACAAGCCAGCCAAGTCAAGCTCACTCGCACGAGCTTGGTGGTGCGCCTCACGATCATGGCGACCACGGTCATACACACGAGCACCTAGATCACCCAGGTCAGTTTCGTCATTGAACGTATGGTCAATGCCAGTAATCCTGTTATGTCCACTTTCTTGCAGGTAAATTTGCAGAGCGGGACCTCCCCGACTATTCGTTACGAAACTTCCAAGAAAGAGGCTTTACCATCGGAATTGGCGGGTAAGTTGACAAGCTTTCGATACGTATGCACCACAGCGATCACCCCATACAGACCTGTTGGTTCCGGTAAAACAGCCTTGACCCTTGCGTTATGCAAGAAGCTTCGTAATAAATATAACATCGGTGAGAAAATATGACATGATCTTCTGCATTCTGTGAAACCTCAATATACTTAGCTACTGTGACGAACGATATCTTCACTCGCGAAGACCAGGAGTTCCTTATTAAGAATAAGGCTCTCCCGACGCCTCGCATTCTAGCTATTGAGACCGGTGGCTGCCCTCATGCGGCGATCCGCGAGGATATCAGTGCAAACATGGGTGCTTTGGAGACACTTCAAGCAAAGTTTGGCTGCCAACTCCTTTTCGTGGAAAGTGGAGGGGATAACCTAGCTGCCAATTATTCCCGGGAATTAGCCGACTATATTATATACGTCATAGACGTGGCGGTATGTTCGTCAGACACTCGATGAACTTCAGCCTCATGTGCATTTCCAGGGAGGAGACAAGATTCCCCGTAAAGGTGGGCCAGGAATTTCGCAGTCTGATCTTTTGGTAATAAACAAGGTTAGTCAAACATTTGTTCAAACATTTAATCCCTCCTCACTGTGGAGGTTCAAGATCGACATCGCGCAATATGTTAACGCATCTCTTGATGTGATGAGGCGTGATTCGAAACTCATGCGTGGAGACGGCCCAACCGTCTTTACAAGCATAAAGAACGACCAAGGCGTCGATGACATCGTGGAGCTTATCTTAGGTGCTTGGCGAACAGCCGGCGAACCCGGCACACAAGGTGCAGTGGGTGATGTCGATGATGAGTGAGGGGCCAAAGAATGTTTGAAAGAATTGCAATACGATGAACGAGGATGTGATAAACGAATGCTATGAGAAACTGTAAGCAACTGCCTTGTACCGTATCGCTGTGTTAAGCATGATATTTTAAACTTTATTTAACTTTATTTTGAAGTGCCAGGCGGGCACTCTATCCAGACTGCGCGGATTCACTGCAGGCTGGGTTACATGACCCTCCTAAAACATACTATGCTAGCAAGGTGACTAGTATCACTTGTCTCTGGCTGGCTGCACATGGCTGCAGTGAGTCCAGGACCATTAGCATGTCGTATCGCGAAGAACTACTGAACTGGCCTTCTGCAAATAAAGGCAGAAAATTGTAACCTAAGGCTTCAAAGCTTGCTGCGATGCTCGCACACTTTTGTTTTGGAGATTATCCTGGCGCTCAAGCTCAAAGTCTAAGCTTCATCCGTGATTCATGTGCATCGAATGCTTCGGTCATGGACCCATCAGTAAACTCTCAGATATAAGGCTCTGTACAGCACTGTACGGCCTACAGCATAGTCTCGATGAATTTTAGAATCCCTAACCTGGGTCCTGAAATTCAAAATTCAGCCGCACGGTCTATCAGGTGTAGCTCGGCACCTATAGCGCCGCGATTTCGATGACGTAATCTCTGGATTGAGGATTGCTCCTTCCTCCTTCAAACAAGCACCATATCACTGGAGCCTTCAGCGTACAGTGCCAGGCCTCCATCTATATTTTGTCCATTCGAACCACGATGGACGCTCAGTCAACCAACCACCCGTACACGATTGTGCGCATTAAGCGCAAACGTACGGATGAACCACTCGACGCGCTTGGTGTGTTGCTCATGCCACTGCTCGCGAAGCCAACTTCTCACTGTGAGATTAGTCGTCGAGTCTCGGGTTCGCAGAAAGAAGACGAAAGGCGGCCGCGATGTTTTCCAATTTGTTCAAACCGTCGAAGAGACTGTCTGGGAGGATAAACAACTGCAGGAGACACTGCAGGTGACTTACCTTTACGATTCGTCGCGTTCGCATTTTATAGGAGTTCTATAATCCCTGCAGAACCAAATCTCGAAGCTGTCACAAAACCATGATGACAAAAACACACCATCGGTGCCTGCGGATGTCACAAATCTTTCTGGAGCTCAACGCCATCGGCAATTAGCCGATGAAGGGAGGCGCTACACTATCGTTCCTACACGCGAACCCGCTGAAAACCCCAAATTTGCTACCAGTCCGTGAGTCTTCCCGGGATGTTGCTGGATACTTTACCAACGTGGTGTAGTCCAAAGGTCATATCTGCGAAAGATGCTCGATCTCAAAGCGACTTCAGGATGTATGATGCCGTTCCTGCCGATCAGAATCCTACGTCTCCCGTCTTTGATTCCGACATGGAGAAATTCTTACCCATGCTGCAAAATTACTTACGCAGTAAGCGTCCCTTCTCTTGATGTCTTGGATCTCCATCCCATTCCCTCCAGTGAATGACGAGCCCTCGCAAGTTTTCTCTGCTGCCCCTCCAGCAGAGGATTATGTTTGGGATGTATTCTATAGGCGTCCTTGCACACTCAGCGAATGGAACTCGGCTGCTAATATCGGGATGCTGTAAGTTGCCTGGCTTAATTAGCGATGAAACCTTTGACTGGAATGTTGTTACATTTGCAGTGAAGGCCTTCCTCCCTCGCTGGATGACCCTAACTCCAGTGACTCGGAGTCCGAGGAGGAAGATGAAGCTGACGAAGATTCAAATGGTATTCATGTGGTTTGGCATGAAATCCTTCATCTGACACAACGTTTTCCAGCCGAGGAATATTACAAGAATGACTATCCAGATGAGGATGATTCGAATGACAGTGAAGGGAGTGGTACGTTTTCCGTAGCCTCATTCGAAAGTCGGTCTGAGATCTGCCTATAGACATATTTCATGAAAGCTCTGAAGCAGAAGACGATCTTCGGTACGACAATCTGAGTGATGAAGACAACTATTGGAGGTAAGGGATTTAGTCATAGAAATTGCATTTGTGGCATAAGTATGGACGCAACACACACATTGTACTACAATTTCCACAGTTATACTTCACGACCTACAGCTACATTCGTTCTTAGTCTCTTCTAATATTCTCAGCACCGTCAGCTTCACATGCTTGAATCATATACTTTCGCCGTCTTTGAGTTCAAACTAAAATTTGTGTTAAATCAACTGAAGCAGGCATGCAAAGAGACCACATACTACGCCAGGATGCTTTGACCGCCGCCTCCCAAACTTACCAACCGTCAATAGTCCGAGGAAAGCCAGGGTGATAGCCATCAATGCAACGACTGCAAGAGTCAAACCCGCGCCAAGAACACCGGCTCCAGCTGGACTGATTTTGGGCTGAGCAGCAGCTTCTCCTTGATCTGTCGCAAGAGCAAGAGCAGCACAGCCCCTATCTTGGGTGTTGGCACAAACATCGCACCAAGCCGCCGTAGTATTCACCGCGACGGGCTGGTGGAGGTACAATCAATACGAGGCAAGTCTAGAACAGTCACCTTGACTTACAGCCATCGCGTCAATGAAAACAGACAACGGGACATCCCCTGTGCGGTTGAGGAAGTTGTATGTCACGAAGGTTGCGTCACTTCCGTTTTTGAAGTTGAAACGGATAACAGGTTCCCCACCCGCAGCAGGTTGACGGAGTTCCAAAGCCACGGCGGCAGCGTAATCGACTAGCTGTGTGTCAGTCAAGCTCACAACAAACTTTAGAATTGGTTTACTGACCAATACCTGCAAGACTCGGGTTGGCACTAGCAACGCCTGTCATATTAAAGAGGGAGAGGAAAGGTTTGTATGCAATAGCGGTAATTGACAACTTCAGAGGGTTTGTGGAGTTCGCGATGTCTGAAAATCCATTGAGAATTGTTGGCAGAAGAGTCAAACCGGCAACTGGGGACGAACATCATGAATTAGTGAAGATTTGTTCTAGAGCTAGACGTACTGTTCCCGATGCCTCCAATAGAAGGATCGCTAAAGACGTTATACTCGTGCCAGTTGGCCAAAGTTTGTGCTTGCGCTAGGTATGTGAGTGGGAGATCCTGGGCGAAGGTGGCGTTGTGAATGTCATTCACATTCATAAAGTCGAATATCTGCTGGCGAGTTTAGCTTGTCGCTACATGAAGAGCAGGAGAGCGTACATTCCACTACAACACTTGTTGTGAGAACTGAGACGAAATACGACTAGCTCAGAACACACCATATTCTGCAGCTGAACTGATCTTCCACTCAAATAAGGAGGTAGAGAGTCCAGGAAAGATGCGCTTTGTGTAGCCATCTCTGTAAAGGTGGATGAGTTGTAAAACTCTGCCGTATGCGTGTTGAAGGTCTGAAAATGTCGTCATTAGGAGAAAAGTTACAGGGATTGTTTTTGACGAACATTGCAATCGGTGAAACCTTCCAATGATACGCTCAGGTTGGGATCCACAGACTCAACTACCCTGTGTGAGTACCACGCGTTTGCTGATGTATCCACAAGAGCTCACTAGGTATATACTGTGCAGCACGTAAATCAGGGGAAGTGAGACACGTATCACAAGAAACACGTACCTGATACCCTCCGAGGGGAGCCGTGATCGTCGTCCCATTAGCAAGGGTGATATTGTTTGAGGGCGTGGCAGGCCAAAGTCCCTGTGTTAATGATACACAAGAATCGTAGATGACTCCATCTTCGCCTCCAAGGTCTGCTTGAACGTACACCTGGGATGCATTGAACATCCCTGTGCTCATGCCAGAGATGTACGATGGCGATGACTGATTCAAGTATAATGAACGTAGGTAGTCGCCGAGCAGAAACTCTTGTTGCTACAAGAAGTCGATGAGAGTGCACATGGCCCAACATTATTGACATACATTGCCTAGGGGAGTGATTTGTGTGGCAGTTGCAGTATAGGTTTGGGGGCTTTGATAAAATCCTTGTCGATCCCCGTGACGAACGAGTAACACGACTCCCAATAGTTGGCTGGACATGATGATCGTATACCGATTATTGGTCGCAATCAAAGAACTAAGAAAGCGACTGGCAATGAATCTGGGAAGAAGAGTGCCAGGGAGCAGAGTAGTGGCGTTGGCCCGCCATTTATTATGCTATCGTGAAGCCAATCACAACTTCGATTTCGCATCGTGTTCAGATGATGTTCCTATTTGTGCCCAGGTCCGAGTTCCTCCAGGTCCACGCAGGCCCGCGCGCGTATCGATATCGCCAACGTCAACATCTGACAATCGTGTAAGTAGTCTCGAATCGGATCCGGTACGGTACCACCATGAACATGTCCCTCGCTTGACGTAGAACCTGTACGATCGTAGCGGCGAACACCAGTGCACTTAGTACATGCGCGAAATACAGTGCTAAGTTGTACGAGCAGAACTTACTTTGTTCAAGTTGCAACCTTGTTGCAACCCAGAGCCTATAAGAGTATCGGTTGTTGTCGGCATCATCATCATCATCATCATCAGCAGATTGATAGGGATGCAAATTTCCCCACGAAACATTCACGCGCATATATATACAAATCACTAATCACTAGTCACTACCGCCTCCGAGGGTCATGATGTTCAAGTCCTCCTCGGTCCTCGCACGCCTTTCTCTAGTCCTTTGTGTCTGGGTTAGTGTACACTACGAACTGGAGTCGACGCGCAAGGTAATGCCATCCTCGAGTCTCGCGCGCCATAGCGACTATTTATCTGCGTGTAGGAGGGTTGACGACGCTGCGGCTTGACAACCATTGGTATGATGAAGTTCAACCTACCTTGCCAAATCGTTACTCCCTGTCCATCACGAATTTCATCCCAGACACTCGACTTCGGTTTCGCGAAGCGCTCGAAGACCAATAGCGAATTGTCCTCACCACTTCTTAGGGAGGCTGTTCAGAGCTGTTCTCGTGCTTCATTGTATAAGAGACGATTGGATTCGGTACTAGGTCAGCCTCATATCTCCACACTCAAATTATCCACCGGCTGAATCAGAGTCCAGGCAGAA